ATGATACATGTACCTAGATATAGATTATCATCCTATTTCACCTAGCCTATCATGAACATGTTTTCATACCTCTAAACACTCACGAGAAATAAAATTTGAATGGTTTTGTACTAGCCCATCTTATATAAATAAGTCATATTTTTTTAACTTGTTCCCAACAGATGAACTTTTAGGCTGTCTTTTGCAGGGACATGAGAACTGCTTTTTTCATCTGGAAAAATAAATTTGTGTACTAAATCTATAGAGGGTGGTGGAAAGGTAGAGAAAGTGGCACCAAGCCCTATCATTAAAGCATCTTCATTCATATCTGTATTTTCAACTTTTCTTTCAACCCAAAACTGCTAGATGAACAAGTTGATTAGAATTACATAATCTATCTATAAATAGGGGCTGGAAGTCAAGAGCAGGCAGTCATTAGACATATGCATATGAGTGAACTCATCGAAAAGCCATTCCTTTCAATTATAACTTTAAGGAACCAAATGTAAGACATATTTTGGGGAGTTTAATATATGAATTCATTAGCTCAGATATGGCTTTTGGTTTGGTGTAGTCTGAGTGAGCGGTCTCTAAAGTATGCAAGACAATCCATTAGGGCTATAGAAAAATACAGAATTTGTTATCCATAACAAAATTATGTTATCCTCTTAAATCTTCTACTTTGGCATGCCTTTCTGACATATGTAAAATATTCATGCACCAGTACATATAAATAATTTAGACAGACATATATGCATTGCAGGCACATGCTAATTTTTTTTAACATTTCAAAAATATGGAGATTACTGCTTTTGATTTGTGTTGTTATGGAGCTTTGGAAAGTTATTGGGACTAGAAACCTATAAAATATGAGGGGAGCATCAGTTTGGTCTAAAGCCTTGCCTCACTGGGAAGGCAGGTAAAGCCCCAGGTTTTCTCAAGCCTAGGATACAGATGACTGGACCCAAGAAGGTGACTGAGTCCAAAAGTTGAGATCATCTGAGAAAAGCAAGGAAGCATCCAGGGTATGCTAAATTACAATGAGGTGGGCACTGTTTTATGGCACCTTTATGGACGTGGTCTAAGAGGCCACAGTAGAAGGACCCTAATGAATCTAGGACACCTGAGAAGAGACTGATGTATTATGAGCCTCCCAAGACTGAGAGTTTAACATACCCATTAGTCTAGCATCCTAGGTAGTAACCTAGTAGGTCTTTGCAGTGATGGGACAGGGGTCAGATAGGTTTCAATAGCCAGTAGAAGATAGAGGCCTGGCTAGCATAGGGTATGGATAAAAGTCCTAGGAGCCTGAAAATTAATTTTGATAAAAATAACCATAACGAAGTTGGCAGCACCTTGACATTAACTTTTCCCTACAGTTCTGCAGAGAGTCAATTCTGCCTAAACTATCTCTCTAGTTCCTGGCTAATTCTGGCATATCTAGATATTACATGATATTAATAAAAGGCTATTCTTAGGATACCAAGTTTCCTCTGCCTTCCTCAAGTGAAAAATAAACACAAAATAAGAAACAAGTTTAGAAAAAGCAAACTAGAATCATTTTAACTTGTATGTATTTTTAATTATGTGGCTCAAAGTTTATATAAACCATAAAAATAAATTATTTTTCTCTGGACATTTTTAAATGTTCAATACCCTTTTCCAACATAGTTGGTAATTACGAACTACTAACTCCTAATGTGGCCTGATCCACCCAACTCAATGGTAAAGGCTATGGCATTACTGAGAATATAATAAAATGGCAGAGAATGTAAGCTGACCACTGAAGGTGTCACTGACAGCAGGAGTCAATGTCTCCACGAGGACAGTGCACTCACACTGAGTTCCAGCCCTGCTGGTCTCCAAGGAAACCATGGAAAAGGGATACAGAGAATCACGAAGTTCTCTCTAGACAGAGTGGACACTGTAGTCCTACCCGTCCCAGCCCATCCTGTAAAAATGAGACAATAAAACAAATTTTTGCAAGACGGGACGTCTTGACAAGGCATCTGCTCACGCATTCTCCTTAGCTGGGAAGGAAGCAGCTGAAAGTCAGTGGCTGTTTCTGAAGACTTTTTTCCAAAAGTAGAAGGCTCTCACTGTGAATTCTGTCTGAACTTGCTGCATCCCTTCTCAAAATATGCTCTCTCAGCTCAAGTTTGACAAGATCAAATAACCAGATCTATTTAAATACCCTACTCTGGACAACACCTTCCAAGACAGTTCACAATTCTAGTTTGTTTAGACTCTTCAACCACCACCCCAACACACACACACATACACACAGACACAAAGTCAGGAAAATTTATCTTTCTTCCTTAAGCCCTCCTTACCATCCAACTGCCAACTTGATTTAGAGTCAACTTCCAGGTTTGGGACTGTTACCTTACCTTAATCCCACAGCAGCTGCCTCCCAGTGGTCAAGCTAAATCCATTTAGGTTACGTCTGATTTGTGAATCTTCTGGGGTAGAAAAATTTTTCTCAACAATTCTTATGCTTTAGAACCGGTAATAATGAGCAAGACTAATGGGCATTCATAAGCTGTTATAAGGCAGAGTTCTTGTTCTATGCATTATTCATTTATGCAAACTGTTGTAAAGGTACCAAATTCACTGTGCAACTGGGCTGGAAAAGTCCCTAGACTGGCGATTACATTGGTATGCACATTTCTGAGGCTTGGTTCTGTTTCACATTTTCATCAGTGACCTGCTTAAGGGAGCAGAGAGCAAACTCATTAAGTTCCTAGATGGGAGGGATGGCCAGAACATTAGAGAACAGGATTAGAATTTCCTCAGCTCTTGCCAAATTAGCAAAACTGTCAGAGTCAAATACGTTCATTGAGGACAGGCAGGGAAGAGGAAAGCTGCCCAAATGCAAGCCGAGTAGTAGCAATTTCTTTAGGAGCAAGACTAAAAAGAATGCAGATGCAAACACAGACTCAGTGTGTGAAATAAACTTACCCAATATAACCACTAGTGCTCACTGGGACCTTTGTACCTTCTTAAAATGGACTCACATCCCCAGTCAATGGATTGTAGAAGCATAAAGCCCACTCCTGAGAATTCCACAAATTCCAGTGAGCTTTTCCTTCCCATGATGACACAATTCGCCTGGTTTATGGTTCACTTTACTGCCCTGCTCTGGTTACCCTACAGCAAACCATGCTGACCCAGACACAAAAACGATTTCCCTCCCATGAGCAAACCATGGCCTCCTGCAGAAGCGCCTGGCTATCTCCTTGATTGTCTTGGCTCTTGTTTAATCATTCTGATTAAACTTGTATCCCAAGTGGCTTAACAAGATATTTTCCTAAATATAGACAGCTCTTTAAAGGAACTCTGGGACAAGCTGTTAAGATAATAACATTTACACCCATGTTATCTAACAGAGGTGAGCATGACCAAGTCATGGGCCAACAGTGCTAGAGCCAGGGGCCAGCACATGTAAAGTGACAGACAGTAAATACTTTCTAACTCTGTTTCAACCACTCTTGAGGCTGTGGCATGGAAGAATTCACACACAATATGCAAGCAAAAGGGGCCCCCCAAGTAGGCCATAGATTGCCTACTCCTGCTAGACTTAGCTTCAGAATATTTGACTTTGGGGGAGGCTTAGCAACAGTCTTATCCTACAGAATCATTTTATACCTGCAGAAATCAGCGCTCAGAAAGTAGAGTGATACTTATGCAAGTTCATAAAACAGTTGAGCCAGGGTGAAAACTTCAAATTAAACACAGGTAGCCCAGTTCCTAGGCCAGTGCCCCCTCCATGGTATCATCACTAGGCTGTTTCCAGAAGGTTCTAGGGAGCCCTGCTTACATGGTAGAACCTCTTCTAGAAATTTTTCCACTAATTTTCGGCACGTGCATTAGTCACAGTATGCGTGATACACAGCAGTGTTTAGGAAGAGCCAAGATGAAAGTCTGACTAAAGACTCAGATGAAGCTGACTCTGCCATCAAGGAGCAGACTTCTCAAAAACCAGAATAAAGCCTAAATTAGATCAGAAAGGAAAACCAAGCACAAAGTTCAAAGGACACAATTTTATTGGGTTGGTCCAAAAGTTGATTTGGGTTTTTCTATAACATCTCAAATGAACTTTTGGGCCAATCCAATATTTAGTTTAAATAAAGTTAAGGCTGACATAAATCCTCATATACTAAGATGAACGTTTCAAAAAGGAGCAACTCTTTTCTATCTTCTTTTAGAATGAGAAGAGCAAAATTAGAGTATAAGTTAGATCACAGAAAGAACTTACTGGAAGTAACTCTGTCACTCATAAGAACTGCAGGCCAGAGGAAGTCACCAAATTGCCTTAATAACTGGATCTTGGAGTTGGGATCTTTCAGGGAGGGACAAGAGAGAGAAACAGTCTAAGTGAGTGATTCGCAAAGTCCTTTCTTTCTCATTAAGTTGCCTGGAAGTTGTAGGAAAGAATCCTCTGAGACAACCGGGACACAATGAATCACTGTACTTAACGAGAACAGGACAGTTTCTTTAAGAGGGTGGTGAAGAGCAGAACAAAAGGATATACTGTATTAGAAAAAGAAATAAATACTTATCCAGGTTTCAAAGAAGCCTCCCAGACGAGATTCCCTCACACTGGCATTAAGGGGTAACTCATGAAAAATCCACCATTCAGGTAGGAGCCTTGCAGTCCCTTCCAAACGTGTGTGTGGACATACCTGAAGCCTTTACCTAGGTTGTGGTTGGGAGCTTCTTGTAGATCATTCATGATCAGCAATTTGAAGACCCAGTAGCTTGGACCTATTCCTCCTTGAAAGTCAGGGCCAAATTTTTATGAGAACTCTTACTTTACTAGCTTTAATAAAGATAAATCATAGCTTACATCTTGTTACTAATTTTAAAATAGTGCAATCTACTCAATCATCATTTCTAGACAGTACATTTTGTGAAACCATCCCATAAGCATGTGTCTCAAGCCACAACTTTTCTAAAACTCAGTTTTTCAAATGACGAACTTGATGATTATTATTTTTATTTTTATAATTTTTTTCCAGATGATCCAGGAACCTGCACATCATGCGCTACAGGGTACTACATGTAAGTCTGGTCTTTTTTTTTTTTTTTCATGGCACTAACTTTTTCTGCAGTTTAAGCATTACTGACTTAATCTTAAATCCAGTGATTAAAGCAAAGAGGCCCTGCAGCCTGAAGCAACTCTCTCTTGTCAGGCTATTAATGAACAATTCTTGGATTTAGCAATAAGAGCCCAGCTGTTTTCTTGCTTCGAAGGGAGGTCCTCTCTCTCTTGGTCCTGGAAATCACCCAGCCTGACACTGGTGTCTAGGAATCTTGCCATTGGTTACCAAGATTCAGACCTTGCTGTTTATGGACAGACTTTAATAATACACTCGACCCCAAGCAAGTCATTTCCAAATGTCTGCATGGAGACCTCGTTCTAAAGGGCAGTCAGACAGTCCAGGATAAAGCCAGGTGTTTGTTAAGCTCTTAATCCCCCTACAGGCAATGAGAGATGAAGACCACTAGGTTAAATGAAATGCAGATAACCATCACCCCCAAAGTTCTCTGATACAAATCCACAAATCAAGGATGTTATGTCTCAGTATCACCTCCCCCTCCTATTCTTGTCTCCCTTCCAGGATACATTGGTGCCTATCTTGGAAGAAAAACTAAGAAAAGAAGGGAGACGAGGCTCTTTGGGGTGGTCTATGTTTGGGCTGCCTCCACTTTGGTGGGCTGACTCCTTCTGTCAACACCTGGCCTTTCTCCTCCATCAGATTCTAAGAACTCAAAATGTGGTGGCGGGTAGAAAGAGGTTAAAAGGGGTGAGGACAATGGGAGAGAAGGGAAACCCAACAAGCTGAGACATACTGAAAATAATCTATTAACCTCAGCATTACTTAAACTTATGGTTTTAATTCAACTTGTCCAGAATTGCCTAATATTCTCTACACTGACTATGTCTCTACATCCTCCTGATTGAATGATTTAAGTTACTGTCCCATTTAAATAGGGGAGGGGGTGGAGAAGAGGCCCCTAGACTTGATTACTGTAAGGTAGACCAGATGACACTCAATGAGCAGCCAATCCTTTGTCAGCACATTCAGAGCTGGCGTGTGGTCCATGACACAAACCCGCAGCAGACATGAAGAGCAGAAATGCAGGCATTTCTTGGCAAGGTCACATGGTTGGAGGTACAAAATGTTTCCCTAGGAGCCAAGGAAGGAGAACTCAGACTCAAATAAAAAAATAGCAACCATGCAGTAGCAGGTGAGTAATTCTCTTTGTCCCTATTACAGCTCTCCATCCTGGTTTTTGCCTGGTGGTTCAGATGGTAAAGAATTCACCTGCGATGCAGGAGACACGGGTTCAACCCCTGGGTAGGAAAGATCCCTTGAAGCGAATAGTAACCCATTCCAGTATTCCTGCCTGGGAAAAATCTCATGGACAGAGGAGTCTAGAGGGCTACAGTCCATGGAGTCACAAAACAATTGGACACAACTTAGTGACTAAACAACCACCACCACCCCTCCAGCCTAGCTCTACCCTGCCTGCCTTCTTCACTCTGATACCAGAACACACCCCTTCACCTGCCCCTACACCCTCTGACACCTGAGAGCCGTTTCCTCTGTTGGATTTTGGAGGCCACCTCCCCACTTCAGCACTGCACACTAACAAACACGTTTCATAAAACCCCTCGAGACACAAATACACTGAAAGAACACGGCCAGCATCACTAAGCATAAAACTTCAGACATTTGTTTCCAGAAATACATATTATAGCCCTTTAGGACATGCAGTCATTTCTAATACAGCTAATTAAACACTGCACAATAGATGTTGTTAAGGAAGAAATACAAAGCTTCCCTGTGATATTTTATGACAGTGTGAAATTCACCAGAGATCAAAGGTCAACTTCATTCCACTCCCCCTTCAAATGAACCTCAATGGAGTCTGAATCACAACGTTTTACCATAGAACGAAAATAAGAAATGATCTATATAAAACGATATACACAGAAAAGCTTGGGCACTTCACTGGTAATATCAATAACCTGGTAACAGACATCATGGACTCATGAGGCTACTTGAACTCAACACTGACCTGTTTCAGACCTGGCGAGTGCCAGGTGACAAAAGCACACAAGTTGTCTATGCAAACGGACCTTGGGTAGAATCCCAGTCCCCCCTCTTACCTATGTGATTTTGAGCACTTAACCGTGAAAATCACTAACCTTTCCAGATAAGGGAATTACAGTTCCCTTACCTGGAAATTAAAGATATGTAACAGCTACATCATGAGAAACACTGGGATGGAGGAAGCACAAGCTGGAATCAAGATTGCCGGGAGAAATATCAATAACTTCAGAAATACAGATGACACCACCCTTATGGCAGAAAGTGAAGAAGAACTAAAGAGCCTCTTGATGAAAGTAAAAGAGGAGAGTGAAAAAGTTGGCTTAAAGCTCAACATTCAGAAAACTNTAATCAGTACTCCATGAATAAATATACCCTTTTCCTTCTTCCTAGGCCCCTCCCTGCGGTCCCAATAAACGGTCCTTGAAGTTTAGAGGGAAGTGATTAATGACACACACACCCACAACAAACCAAGTTTTCTCCCTTAAACAATGTGTAATACAGAGGGAGAAAAAAATTAGGAGTTTTGCCTTAACATACACAAATTACTGTATATAGGGTCTTCCCAGGTGGTGCTAGTAGTAAAGAACCTGCCTGCCAATGCAAGTGATGCAAGAGACACAGTTCTGATCCCTGGGTCGGGAAGATCCCCTATAGAAGGACGTGGCAACCCACTTCAGTATTCTTGCCTGGAGAATCCATGGACAGAGGAGCCTGGCGGGCTATAGTCCTTGGGGCTGCAGAGTCAGACACGACTGGGGGACTGCACACACACACACACACACACACACACACACTCTACTATATATAAAATAGACAATAAGGACCTCCTATATAGCCAAGGGAACTTTACTCAACACCCTGTAATAACCTATAATGAAAAGGAATCTTAGAAAGAAAATAAATATAAAACTGAATCCAAAGGAGAAGATATACGTGTGTGTATATATATACATATATACTGAATCACTTTGCTGTACACTTAAAACACAACAGAGTAAATTAACTGGACCTCAATTTGAAAATGATATGTGATATATGTATAAACTAAATAATTTACAAGAATGCATTGTATACATGGGAAATATAGCTAACATTTTATAACTATAAATGTAATATAATCTTTAAAATTTATGAATCACTATGTGGTACACTTGAAACATATAATGTTGTACATCAACTATTCCTCAATAAAAAATTTCATGATGCATAATATTTGAAAATTGCTAAGAGAATAGATCGTGAAAGTTCCTATCACAAGAAAAAAAATTCTGAAACCATGGTAACAGATGTTAACTTGACTTACTGTGGTGATCATTTTGCAATATATACAAATACTGAATTATTATGTTGTACACCTGGAACTAACATAATGTGTATGCCACTTATGTTTTAAGTTATTAAGGGAGAAAAGATAACTTCAAAAGAAATGATGTGTAGACATATAAGGAGATTAAATTATGGTGATAAAGAGAAATAGTAATATCTTAACACAGCTCACGGAAGAAACTGTATCTTATCTCCCCAGGTTCAAACACCACTGTTATAAAACCTGTCCTGAGAAGACCTACAGGGAAGAATCTGAATGCAAAGCGTGTGATACCAACTGTGGCAACTGTGACCACAATGAGTGTTACTGGTGTGAAGAGGGCTTCTTCCTCTTGGGTAAGCCTGAAAATAGTTGCTTAGTCATGTCCAACTCTTTGCGACCGTATGGATGCTAGCCTCCCAGGCTCCTCTGTCCATGGAATCCTCCAGGCAAAAATACTGGAGTGGGTTGCCATTCCCTTCTCCAGGGGATCTTCCCAACCCAGGGATCGAACCTGGGTCTCCTGCATTACAGGCAGATTCTTTACCCTCTGAGCCACCAGGGAAGCCCCAAGCTTGAAAACAGGCCTGGTACAGTGAGAACAAGGCTCCAGGGCTGTATTCAGAGACAAGAGAGCTCGTCTGATAGGTTTTAGAGTCTTCCTGTGCCTCTTGTCCAAGCAGGAATTTTACTTTGGTTTGAAAATAAACATTAGTCAGGACTACTTCCTTCTGCTTCTATTACTGAAGCATAATTCCTACTTCACTAATTACTCGCAAGCATCTCCAAGCTGATGGAATGCAGAGTGAGTGGAGGGGAGGAACAGACACTGAAGAGAAATAAATGCTTTGGAACTGAAGTCACCTGGAACATTCAGAACATGACTCTTTCCTTGAGACTTTATTCATGTTCTATATTCCCTGCACTGTAAAAGTTAAATAAGATCTTTTAGTCTTAGACTTAAGTCAATTCATTGACTGTGATGGAAATGAATGGTTGGGAAGGAAATACACTGTGAGTCATCCAATTGGGAGAGACAGCAGGGCAGACACAGTGACCTTGAGGGGCTCTGTATGTGTGGAGATCATTTTATCTGCAATTTTTCAAGGTCTTGAGAACATAAAAGTCTTTGTGCTCCCAACCCTTGATAGCCAACTTAAATTTTCAGTTGAAAGAGGACTTAAAGTGTTGGATTTATTAAGACACGATTCTTGGGTTGAAATATGCAAATGTCATCACGGTTTCTTTAAAGATTAAAAAATGTTCCTCAGCCTCCCTTTGGCCTGTTTAGAACTTGGCCCTGTGCAGAGCACCTGACTCAGCCAGCCAGGCTTCCACTTCAGGCTTCCTGTCTTGTGTTCTCACGTAGGGGGCAGCTGTGTGAGGAACTGTGGCCCCGGCTTCTACGGCGACCCAGAGATGGGAGTCTGTGAGCCCTGCCACCAAGCCTGCGAAACCTGCACCGGCCTTGGCCACGACCAATGCAGCAGCTGCCGAGAAGGCCTGCAGCTGCTGCGGGGGACATGTGTGCGTCACGCCCACACCCAGGAGGAAGGCAGCTTCTGGAATGGTATGTGCCCCCCAAGAGGGACCGCAGGTGTCCAGCTGTCTCCTCCCCCTTCCCCCACTCCCAAAGCCTTGCTTTCAGGATACCCAAGAGATGCAGGCTAGGCAGTGAAACAAAAGTGTGGCATCCCGGAGCCTCTGTGATGCTCCCCACAAGAAAGGGCAGGAGGGTGTGGCTGGCATTTGGTCAGGAGCTGCTGCTGTTTAGTCGCTCAGTTGTGTCTGACTCTTTGCGACCCCATGGTCTGTAGCCCACCAGGCTCCTCTGTTGGATTTCCCAGGCAAGAATACTGGAGTGGGTGGCCATTTCCTCCTCCAGGGGATCTTCCCCACCCAGGGATCAAACCCACATCTCCTGAATTGCAGGCGGATTCTTTACCACTGAGTTACCTGGGAAGCCCTCGGTCAGGAGGGAAACAAACACCAAAGGGCCACCGATCTGGCCACTTGGGTTTCCAGCTGGGTGGAGTGGGCTGCGGAACACACAAACGGAGAGACAAGTGACTACCACTCTCTCAAAGATTTCAGAATAGCTTCGATGACATTCACATATCTCTTTATTAAAAAGAGAAAAGAAAACCACTAGTGGGACAGCCTGTCCAGTTAGACAAGGAAGTGTTTAGTCGGTAAGTCGTGTCTGACTCTTTGAGACTCCGTGGGCTGTATCCCACCAGGCTCCTTTGTCCATGGAATTTTCCAGGCAAGAATACTGGAGTGGTTTGCCATTTCCTACTTCAGGGAATCTTCCTGACCCAGGGATCAAACCCAGGTCTCTTGTATCTATTGCACGGCCAGGGGGATTCCTTATCACTGTGCCACCTGAGAAGCCCCCAGACAAAAACGAATCACTGTAAAGCTTGGGAACTTCAGCTGAAATGGCTGGTCTTTCTGGCTGGATTATTAGAACTTGCCATCATTCAAGCTTACCTTTTAAAATTTACCCTCTCTAGTTGCAGATGCAGGAAGCAGGTGGGCTTGAGAGGGGGCAGGAGGGAGAAAAAGTGTGGGAGCTTGGAGTCTAACAGTAAAGACCTACATGTATTTATTCCCACCTGAGTCTTCAGAAGTGGCCGCCAGACCCTGAAGGCTTGGTCACGGGCTTCCTGGTAAGGTAATTACAACCTTGCAGTGGCCTCTCCATGTCTGAGGTGGTTAAAAAACAAAATCCTCCTCCTGCTGGAAAACTCTGACTCACATTCCATGCAGAGACGCCGATGAAAACAAGAGATGCTCTCTGTCTTGATTTCAAGGCAAGGATTTGTTTAAAAAGGTCATTTCAGTGCAGAAGCAACAGCAGCTGAAAGCAGGTCTGCTTGGGATGAGTCTTGTAAGAGCTGGAGGGAGGGATGATCTGGGGCAGGAGAAAAGCCTCTTGCTAAGTCTCAGAGGAAGGATGTCCACAGCTGCTGTCTACAATGACAGTGTCGCCTACGTGACTTAACGCAAGAGCATCTCAGACATCATCACAAACCCAGCGGCCAGAGGCCACCAAGAATGCGGGCTGATTTCAGAGACAGAGCTGGGGAGAAAATCATTCATTCCAGATTGGGATATCTTCCGTGAATTATAGCTGAACCAAAATGCTGAAAACGAGTTTGTCTGGCATGCAGGCATTTAAGAGGCGGTGCAAGCCAAGAGGAAAATAGTCTGTGCTATGTTTCTAGCTCAGAACATCTGTATTTTATCTGGCGTCCAGATGATGAAAAGGTTCAGGGAGCCAAGAGCCAGAGCAGACTCGATTCCCCAAATGATTACACATCCCTTTCAACTGGACTACGCACTCTGCAAGCAGAAATCAAGGCTTCACTGCTCCCCGCTTTGCGAGGCACCACATCTACCCCTCTGCCTTTTCTACTATCAAAATGCAATATTTGTGAAGAGAGAAAGGAATTAGTCCATTTGGGGAGATAGCACTAATGCGGGATTCACAAAGCAGATGAGACCGTTTCTCATGGCCGGACAAGAGCAATAAAGTCAGTGACATAGCAGAGCTTTTCCACACCTATAATCCAGGGAATAAGACATTCATGCAGACTACAAACAATGAGAAAAAACCGTGTCTTCACTGAGCGAGGTGAGGCCACAGCTCAGCTTCCGCAGCATGGTTTGGGCACCACTGAAATGGATGGTAAATGGCAACGTACTCCACAAGGCCCTGAGTGTATTTAAACCAATGCCTACATTTTTCTCTTGATTTCTTTTCCTTAAGAAACAAGGCTGAGGTTGTAGTAGGAGAGTAGAGGATTCCAGAGAATAAGCACTATTAGCCCCATGTTTAAGATGATACAAAGAAGACTGCAGTCATCCTTGGTCAACTCAGAGGGAGCCCAGACAAGCCAGAGAGCTCGTGGGAGAACAGAGCCAGCCAGGTGGTACCAGCGAGGGGCTGTGTTGTTTTTGTGGTTTCAAACACAGACTCAGATACAGGCAGGACAAAGCAGGTGGGACAAACTTGGTCCCATTTCTTCAACCACACTACTGCCAGTGGAAACAATAAGATCACGCTTACATCCAAAAGCTAAAGCCATCCCATGGTCTATGTCAGCACGTGTTGGAGAAATGCCTTGAAATAAAAATCCAACTAGAGTCCACTGGACTTCTCTTTTAATAAGGTGGCTGCTCATAATGAGAGTGCTGATGACGACAGGTCATCACCCTCTGTCAAAGCCCTTTGTGGGCTCCCCTGGTGGTCCAGTGCTCGAGAATGCACCTGGCAGTGCAAGGGACGCCGGTTCAAGCCCTGGTCCAGGAAGATCCCACAATCCCATGTGCTGCACAGTAACTAAACCCATGAGCCACAACCGGGCCCACAGGCTGTGAGTCCTGAAGCCCACGTGCCTAGAGCCTGAGCTCCACCACGAAAGAAGCCACTGCGGTGAGAAGTCTGGTCACCACAATGAAGAGCAGCCCCAGCTCAACCCAACTAGAGAATGCCCAAGTGCAGCAACGAAGACCCACCATAGCCCCCAAAAAAGTTAAATAAATCTTAAAAAAAAAAAAAATTACCCCCTGAGCAGGAATGCTTCCTACCCTGGTCCAAATGGAGATTTACCGACACATCAGACCACAGCTGGAAAATCCTCAGCCAAGACTAAGTCATCTCCAAAGGTTCTTCCTGCCACCAAAAAGTCCCTGCACAAAAGCACAGATCATCCCCAGGCTGCCTGTCTCAGTCACTAATATATTTGCGAGGACTATTTAGTCCAATGTCCCTGTGTGGTAACGACCAATGTCAAACGGACTGTTGCCAGTGGCATCGGCAGGGCCTCAGGCATCACGCAGACCCACTGTTGGTGGAAATGCTCAGGTGTGGCAGGCTTTGAAAGAAAACGATAGCTTCAGCTAGTTTCCTAAAACCATTGTCGGGAATGGAAACAGTTTATTACTGTTAAATCATTTGGGTTTTCTTAAGTGGTTTCCCCCCTGGTGGTGCTGGAAAGTCCTCAGAATAATTCCTGCACATTTCCCCTACCCACCTATTTCCATCATTGATTAAAACCATGTTTGTAGCAGGTTCTAATTACATATTCTGATGGTAGTCTAATCTACAAAGCACAGACATGGTAAATTAAATTTTTATCTTTGACCACATCCTAACAATTTATCACTAGTCTGTCTTTTGATTTTAATTCCTATGCTCAGAGAAAGACCGAAATCCCAGAGTCAGTTACAAACCCTGGAAGCCACACATGTGTGAAAAAAAAGTTCTCAACAGTGGGGAGATATGTTACTTCATAGTAAGTGAACTTCAGACAATTTTTTTTAAAAAAAACATAAAAATCTGATTTTTTTTTTTTTAGAAGAAGTTTGTGTATAGTTGCCTCACTTACAACTGAGGACACAATTTTTACTTAACTAATCAATCATAATTCAGAGTGCAGAAAATCATAGGTGGGCAGCTAAGTGAACTTTTGGCCTAGGGATATGAAGGAGCCATGTGTATCTGCTTACACTGATTATTAAACATCCAGGAATTTTATGAGTGGATTATTAAACAATTGGTAGCTTGAAATCAGCTGTGGCAGGAATATTTACACCACTGAAATTGGTAAACCTGACAAATCAAGTCTTTGTTGCTGTTTTGTTTTCCAAAGAACCATTTTACCAGTACATCACTGCCTTGACCTCTACCAAACTATTTTGAAACTAAATGAATTACTAAAACATCTAACGAAGATAGAGTTTAGAATTTGGCACACCTGAATTCAATTCCTGGCTCTATTCTTTACTAGCTCTGTGACTGTGAGCAAGATATTCATCCTCTCTGAGCCTCAGTTTTCTCACCTATAAAATGAGAATATGAAATGTCTCATACAAGATCATTTTGAGAATTAAATGGAAGAATATATATAAACCCCCTAGCACATAGTATGGCGCAAAAAACATCAATCTATTCTCTAACCCTTTAACCTAATCTAGTTTCAACCCACGAAACACTAGTTTACTTTCAAAACTGCCTTCTTGAGCTTATGAAATAAAGCAATTTGGAGGCCTAAGGAGTAATACAGGTCTGCTTAAAAAAAAAGTCCCAGAAAGAAGGGCAAATGACAGTCAGCTGGGATGCCTAATAGCCAAGTTGAGTCCTGACTTAACCTAGAATGTGTACAAAGATGTTGACAGCACTTTTAGTTATAATCTAAAAAAAGGAGAAAGCAATCTAAAAATGTAATGAAGAAAAACACTAAGTGAATTAAGATTCATGCAGAAACACCAATCAAAAAAAATATTTTTACAAAGAATTTTCATGGCAAAAGAAAACTCCTATAAGATTCATTACATTAATGAAAAATGTAAGATCAGTACTATGTATGCAGAAGACGTCAATGATTACATATATACACACATATGTAATTACACTTATGCATTCCATACAAAGATGGGAAATCTAAACGCCAAAGTATACACAGCAGACATTTCTGAGTGGTAAGATTCAGGGGCAAACTTTATCTTCTTCATCGTTTTTGCATTAAAAAAATAAAAAATTTCTTTCTTTTTTAATGAAAAAAGTACCTGTGTCCACTGCAAGCCCATCTTTGGTGAAGAGCCTGCTGCAGGAGCAACGAAGGTGGAAGTTTCCAATCAAAAGAGGTAACAGGGAAACAGGGAGGACAAGATGATCAAGCGTACCAGGAGAGTCTCTGTGATGTACGAACCAACCCAAGAAATCAGGCAGTGAGGAACAAGCAGGGATGCAGAAGTCATGAGAAAAATGGAGAGAGGATGGGACCTCCGATTAAAATATAAGTGGGTATCCAAAGGGAAAGACTGGGAGGAATTTCAGCAGCGGAGACTTCAAGAACATATAATGACATTCCGGAGGCACAAAGTGGTTATTCTTGAGAAAAGTTATCAAGAAAAGCCTCTGTCCTTGCAGATCTTTAAGAAGAGCAACTTTTGCATTCCTAGTCACTGCAGCCTTGTTTGAAATAACAAAGGCTGGAAAAAACTAAACAGCCACCAACAAGAGTAGGAAAAAAAATATGACACAGCCACACAGTGGGATACTATGGAGCCATCAAAAAGAATGAGAGTCTTTATATCCTGATAAACAATGGTCTCCGAAATACAGAACTACCAAAAAAAAAAAAAGGCAACATGATAAACACTGTGAATAGTTCGTATAAAAAGGGTGGAGGGGGATGGTAAGAGAGACTTCACAGTATACACCTTGTCTACATTTTGAACCTGGGAGTATTGCTTCTTTAACCTAAAAAATTTAAGAAGAACCCATACTTTATTAGTCATATTTGAAGGGTGTACATTATATTTTCTTGGTCAAGGTGATTTTTTTTTTCAGGGGAGGGGGTGAGGTCCTGTTCAGTCTAGAATTTCTGGAATAGAAAAAAGAGAAACTGATCAAGGTCAAAAATTTTACGTGTTGAGATCTAATCTTTTCTGATAAAAGAGCTCTCGCTGGGGATCTTTATCCATTGCCCAAGCCTGACTGCCAACAGTGTGTGCAGAGCACCCTCTAGTCGAGATGTGAGGACATTACAGAATTTTATACCAAGTGTATTGGAGTGATATATCAAGCTACCAGAACGTGAGATATGTATGTGCAATTATAAACGTATGTATACTATGTGTAAATATATACATTATATTTTTTAAATGTGAGAAAATTAATTAAAACGTCTAGCTTTTAAAAATATAACATTTTAGCATAAAAATGATAAAATCAAAACAAAATCAACCCATGGCCTGGATGTATAAAGATCTTCAAGGTGCTCAATATCAGATGAATATTTAGTTATTATTCCTTGAATAACTGCTCTCATCAAGTAAGCATCTTTTTCTCCCAGCTTAATTGAGATGCAACTGACATACAACATTATATAGGTTTACCATGTATAAAATAATGACTTAATACATGTATATACTGCAAAATGATTACAATAAGGTTAGTTAACACACCCATCATCATCACTTTTGTGAAAATCCAGGGACTAGCATTGCTCTGCCTGGCTAGCTGAACTCTTAACAGAACTCCCCAGCAGAGTACATTAGTTCATCGGTCTACTAGAAAACCAGTACAAAATTTTCTCTCACAGTTGGAAATAAATTGCCACTCAGCATGGACAATCGTTTATGTCCACAGACCTCTATCTCTGGCTATCTACTGCCTACTTGCCTATCAAGCTTTCTCTGCAGCAAGGCTCAGCAGTGTATTGACTATGAGTGCCATTAGAAGAACCAAGATACTGGCTCCTGGTACCACTCCAAGGATGGAACAGAGGAAAGAGAACGGGAAATGAAACAGCAGCCTGAGAAACGGGGCGGGATGATAAACGAAGAAATGAAGCAGCAGGAACCACCATTTACTGAGCCACTATGCATACTTTACACGCTGTCTTACTCAGCTTTCACTAGACCCTGTAAGGGAAGAATCACTTGCTCTCATTTTAGAGAGTGGACAGTATTGTAAGACTCAAAGAGCTTAATTACTGTATCCATGGTTACCCTACCCAGAAAAAGCACACCTGGGATCTGAAGGCAGGTGTGACTAGACTCTGCCAGGCTCTCGGGAAGAGAAGGAAGGAAGTGACAGGCGAGAGAGGGGAAGAGAGGGAGGAAAGAAGGAAAAGGGGGAGGAAGGAAAGGAGGGGGATGGTAAGATGCTGACAATAACCACTGACCGAACTTCAGGGTCATTTGTGTCACATGTTCTGAGCTAGAACTTCTTTTTCTAAATTTCCCCTGTATGAGTCACGCTGATTCCTGAGCAATTACTGGAAGTTAGTCAAGATCTCTATGTGTCCTGAGTGAGTGACGTCACTGAGGCTGTTTCCTTTGTTACACAACTATCCCGTTGAGTAGCTGCTGCCTTCCTGACAAAACCTGCCCAGCGAATGATTGTGGGGGAAGAAAGCAGAAGCAGCTCGCATGTTTCTCAGATTAATGGTTTATTAACCTGGGATGACCTCCCTGTCACTGACCTGCCAGCAAGCTCTCCGATGCCTACGGATGTTTAATGATGATTTTGGACAAATTTAAAAGATCAATTTAGGCTGCATCCCACAGTGGCTACTATGAAGAACAGAGACCCAAACACTGACCAGTTTATGAAATCTGGTCCTAAAGAAAAAAAAAGAAGGGGCACAACGAATTCTCAGCTATCATCTTGGAGTAAAGAAAAGTGATCATCAAAGAATCTTGGAGAAATAAGTGATTACCTTTGACACAGAAACTCCAGCACACATACACACAACCACACATTTACAAAATATAAAATAAGTAACATCTGTTAGTTCAAATATCCCCCTATATTTAAGGCTATCCTGTCACTGGGAATTTGCAAAGAAAGGCTTGACATCTATTGCCAATGAAGGAGTAAGGAAAATAAAATAAATGAAGTCCACTTAGTAGGCAATGGGTGGTGCCAACATTTAACTGCTATCAAATTGAAGGGTCTATTTAGGGTGAAAAGGGAAATGAGATTACTCATGAGATTTTCCCAACAATGTTATGCACCTGTTCAAAAGAGGCAGACTTCTTGTTTCTTTCCTTACACAGACCTTTTGAGAAGACACCAGTCATGTCATTCTTCCTGTAAAACCTGCCATGGATCGGCAACCCTATGCACTTCATGTCCAAAAGGTGAGTGCGGCATGTTACAGGAGGAAGCAGTGGCCACGCCAAGTCAGTTATTGCTCAGCATCTCGTGATAGTCCCATCACATGCTGCTGTCACAGCAGGAGCTCTGGAGAAACACAGGGACCCAAGCACTGCCCTATAATAAAAACTAGTTTTCAAGGGACCAGAACAAAAACGAAAAGAAATGGTTCTTATCCAAAGCATGATTAAGTCAATGATCAATTTGGCCACAGAGTTTGCTAGGGTCTCTGGCTGCCCGACATTTCTAGAGGTTCCATTGTTCTTTTAAAGTGCATTAGCTGAAACAAAAGAACTAAGATAGAGAATCTACATACCAGGTATTTTTCTTCATTTTTGGTACTGAATTTAGGGGAGGGGAAAAAAGCACAACAACAGCTCAACAAATTAACGGCTTCATCATCTATAAAATCAAGTCAGAAATAACTTCCCTGAATTAAGGTGACAGTTTATCAACATGGCACATTAGAAACTAAGAATATTATACTCCCATTAAAGTGATCATTATGTTAGAATGTGCAATCTGCCACGATTCTACTTTTACAATACATAAGAGTCAACAACAAAAAAAAACCTGACAATTTTCTTGGAATTTTGGAGTTCAGGGTGATTTCTGGGTTGTTTTAGTGATGATGCATCTGATTTTTTTTCAGTTAAAACTAAGTAGATGGACTGTGCATTAAAGGTGGAGTTGGGTGCAAGGGTTGCTACTGTGTCAGTGTCCCAACACATATGCTTTGAGATGCAGAGCAGACTCCATTCAACTGTGTATACATAATTGCCTCACACCAGGAAGACAAAGGTCTTAATAGACAGATCACTTGGGCAAAGGGAAGCCCCGGGTTACCCACAGCAATATCAATAGGAAAGTCAAAGAAACAAGTCAAAAATCTTCTGTTGACAATTTCCTTTCTAGAGTTTTAACTCATCTTAGAAGACTCAGTCATCACTAAAAGATGTTTTGGTAATCCTGAAATAGGTGTTCCGGATACTTGGGTCTTTGTTGTTGCTGTTTAGTTGCTAAATTGTATCTGACCCCATAGTCTATAGCCCGCCAGGTTCTTACGTTCATGGGATTTTCCAGGCAAGATACTGGAGTGGGTTGTCATTTCCTTCTCTAGGGGATCTTCCCAACCCAGGGATCAAACCTGCATCTCCAGGGCAGTTAAAAAAGCTGTTGGGAGTGTCAATTCTCTGCTTGGGTGCGTGTACTGTTAGAGCAGACACCCGAGGATCACCTAACCTGTCTTCTTCCCTGGGACTCCAGGCACCTATCTGCTGGCTCAGACCTGCGTCCCATCCTGTCCCCAAGGCACGTGGCCCTCGGTGAGGAGCGGCAGCTGCGAGAACTGCACAGAAGACTGTGCCTCTTGCTCCGAAGTCAATCTTTGCCAAAAGTGCCAAACGCGGCCAGACCACCCCCTCTTCCTCCACCAAGGCAGGTGCTTCACCAGGTGCCCTGAGTAAGTTCTCCTCTCCCTTTGGCTTGCTACTCTGCGTTCCTTCTCCTGCAACACTGCCTATGGGGGCAATTTCCCTCTATTCACCAAAGACCTCTTCTCTTCCCTAGTTAGAGCGCCTATGTCCTCCTCCCTGCCTAACTGGCTGACGTCACTCTCGGCCACAGCAGCCAAAGCTTACTTAAGGCCAGATGCATGCTTCTCCCTTGTGACCACAAGATGTATATATTTTGACGCTTATGAAAATATGTTCTTTATTTTACCTTGTATTTATGATCAAATAGTTGTCAGGGTTTGTTTTTTTTTCTCATGACAAAAGTGAGGTTGTGATAAGCTGTGGAATGCACAAACCTCTTCTACATGTTGAAAGAGAGGTATGAATCACAGATAATAAATAGAGAGTAATGCCTGCTTAGTTATTTATTGATTCCTCATGGCTTCCTCGGTCCCCTGGTTTACAATTCCTTTACTCTTCCTATCAGTGGTCCTGGCTCCAGGATTTACCTAAGTGGGAAGTGGGAATAGCAAGTGGAAAAGTGCATCAGGAGAATTTCAGTAACAAGAAACAAAAATGTCAAAGGGCCTGACACAAAATATGGGGTTTATTTATGTATATGATACAAAGTTTGGAAGTGCAGCATTTATTATTTCGGTGGCCAATGCTTCATTAGAAACCCACAATCTTTCCATTGTGCTCTCCTATCTTCCATAGATTGTCCTCTCCAGAGTTCATGTTGCCTGCCCATCCCCAACATCATCATCCCACGCTGTAACAACCAGAGACAGAAAAGGGTGCCTTTCTTCTTATTTATCTCTTTTTAAGAGGAAGCAAAACTTCCTCAGACTTCCCTTCACATCTCATCAGCCAGAATGCATCACTAACACCTTCCTAAACTGATCCCTGGCAAGGAGAATGGAAATATGAGGACTGACGTAGGCTGAACGAGATTCGCCCCTGAAAACCCACAAAAATCACAACACTGACAGCCAGGAAGAGTGGAGAGACGGAGGCAAGAAATGGGTTTGAGGAAGCAGCCAACATCTAAAGGCACTAGAAATTTTATTTGCCTGCTGCTTAAAAGAACTTCATAATAAAAACAACTCCTATTTTCTAATGACCTATTTATATCCATTACTGAGACTGATCCTATAGCATACAAATAAAAGTCAAGGAACTGACCCTCAAGAAGCATCCAATCTACTGTAAAAGCCAAACATATCCAACTCAATTCTACAGATACCTTTGGGGTGTTAAGAATTGATACTGGGGGGAAAAAAAAAGAATTGATACTGGAAGCTAAAATAAGCTCAAGTGAAGGAAGTCTGAGTTTGCAGCAGGCTTATAATCCGGTAGGGAAGGTTTACATCAATCAATGTCATACTTTTCAGGCCCTTAATACACAAAGAGCTAAGAGATTCCAAGGGAAAAGAAACCATTTAAAAACAGATACTTACTGAGATCTTGCAATATCTAGGCACTGTGCTAAGAGTTTCAAACACACCATCCCCTTTTTTTTTTTCAATAAATACAGTACTACACAATCCACAGTTGGCCAAACCCACAGATGCAGAACCACGAATATAAAGGGCTAACTATGGGACTTGAGCATCCATGGAATTTTGCACTCATGTCAGGTGCTGGACCAATCTCCTACAGATATGGAGGGCCACTATACCATTATTTCCCTCACTTCACAGATGAAAAAAAGGGTGACATGCCCAAAGCCACACTGCTAATACATGGCATGGTCAGGATTTCAAACCAAATCTCTCTAGTACTGAAATCCATGTGCTTAACCACTACACAATGTCACCTTCTCATTCAACCAGGGTTTCTTTTTTCTTCATAACAGCTTTGTTGAGATATAACTCACATGCCACACAATTTACCCACACAAAGTATACTATTCAATGATTTTTAGTATAGTCAGAGACTTGTGCAACTATCACCACAATTGATTTTGAAATATTTCCATCACCCCCAAAAGAAAACTCTGTACCCTTTCAGCAGTTATTCCTAATTTCCCACAGCCCTAAGCAACCACTAATTTACCTTGTCTCTAGAGATTTGCCTATTGAACATTTTATATAAATAATACAGAATGTGACTTTTTGTAACTGACTTATTTTATTCAGAATAATATTTTCAAGTTGCCCCCAGTTGGGTATTTGAAAAGAGGCTTAATAGTGAAAGTGTCAGGGTAAGAACACCCAGCAGGGAGAAGAGGTTTTTTTCCTCCAAATCGAGGCTGAGCTACACTTGTGAAATAATGAGACACTACACGCACATGGATACATGGCAGCCTTTTTCATTTTTTTGAGCAACAGGGAAGCTACTAAACTGACCTGAAAATCCTGCAGACTAGGGAATCACAAGTATATGTTTTCCTGTCTTGAGTAGGGTGGTCTGATTACCATGGGATTCCCCCATCTTTATGTTTACCAAAAAAAACAGGGGAGATAAAGTCTGAGGAATATACAATACCCAGCTTGGCTTGGCAACTTCGTTTCTCTTTCTGCAAAATTGCCTGTTTGGATGTAATCCATGGCCACACCATGAAAAGATTGCTCTACTAAAGCATGATTCTTTTTAATAGAAGCAATTAGGCCCTTCCAACACTGGAGTTTCCCTCCTTTTATCAGTTGAGGGTCAGAAGAAGTAGGAGCCAAGCGCAATGGGCATCCTATGACTATCTCAAGTGGTGAGAGTTTATGAGTTTCAATAAGGGTGGATATGAGATTAAGAAGTACCAATTCAGTTCAGTTCAGTTGCTCAGTCGTGTCTGACTCTTTGCGACCCCATGAACCACAGCATGCCAGGCCTCCCCGTCCATCACCAACTCCCAGAGTTTACCCAAACCCATGCCCATCGAGTCGGTGATGCCATCCAACCATCTCATCCTCTGTTGTCCCCTTCTCCTCCTGCCCTCAATGTTTCCCAGCATCAGGGTATTTTCCAATGAGTCAGCTCTTTGCATCAGGGGGCCAAAGTATTGGAGTTTCAGCTTCAACATCAGTCCTTCCAATGAACACTCAGGACTGATTTCCCTCAGGATGGACTGGTTGGATCTCCTTGCAGTCCAAGGGACTCTCAAGAGTCTTCAACAACACAGTTCAAAAGCATCAATTTTTCGGTTCTCAGCTTTCTTTATAGTCCAACTCTCACATCCATACATGACCACTGGAAAAACCATAGCCTTGACTAGACGGACCTTTGTTGGCAAAATAATGTCTCTGCTTTTTAATGTGCTGTCTAGGTTGGTCATAACTTTCTTTCCAAGGAGTAAGCGTCTTTTATTTTTGATGCTTTTGACCAAGGTATTTGGAAAGTGTCAGTTGCTCAGTCATGTCCAACTCTTTGAAACCTCACGGACTGTAGCCCACCAGTCTCCTCTGTCAGTGGGATTTTCCAGGCAAGAATACTGAAGTGGGTAGCCATTCCCTTCTCCATGGAGTCCTCCTGGCTCAGGGATAGAATCTGGGTCCCCCGCATTGCAAGCAGATTCTTTACCATCTGAGCCACCAGGGAAGCCCTAAGATATTGGGAGGGCCTCTACAAATTTTGCCAACTGAGTCTTAAGAATGTCATGAGTGCATTAGACTAAACCAGAGGGCTGAGGGTAGTTAAGCAAGTACAAAGTTGTAAAACTGGCCATACAGTGCAGACTTAAGTACACGGCCAATAAAATAGGTTCCTCAATCACAATAAGTTCCAGGTAAGGATAATCTTTTCCAAAGGGATTTATTTTAGTCACAGAAAAGGCAGTGGCCTGCCTGCAAGGGAAGGCTTCAATCCAATGTGAAAACATACAGACCATGGCGAAAGCTTATTTACATCCATTAGACAGAGGAAGTTTTACATAATTCATTTGCCAGACCTCAAGTGGTCTGGGCAGTTTAAAATGTCAGGGAACAGTAGGAAGAGGCTTCCCTGGGTTGTAGTTTGCATAAGCAGGACAAGTAAGGTAAATATTTTTTGTGGCCTTGTTAATATTTCCCCATTAATACTGATTCATGAAGCCTATCATTTCATCATAGACTGAAGGTTTAATGCATGTCACCAGCAGTGGGGAGTGGGAATTTCGGAATCTCCAGTAGGACTGGCTTGTTATACAGTCCAAACAAGAGATTTCTCTTTTTATCCAACTAACAACTGTTGAATTTCCAAACTTGTTTTTCTTTTTCTGAGGCCAGCTGTTGGACCCTTCTAGCCAGTTTTTCTAAATCATTTGGAAAAAGATATTATAAAATATCATTAGGGTGTGACTGGTCCCTTTAAGAGCAGCATTCCTTACAGAAATAGCAACAAGATGGTTTCCTTTAGCTTCCAGAGAGTGAAGTGAGAAGCCCCAAAACAGTAATAGCTAAAGTGACAGGCAAAAAGTATTATATTCACTAATTCTTACACATAGGGGGCATTTTAAGTTTTATTCTCATTGCTTCCACAACATTCCAAAACCATGAGTTACTCTGAAAGCAAGTCTACTCTCAGTATAAATAGTGGCAGTTTTGTCCTTGGCTTAAGTACAAACCTGTATAAGAGCGTATCATTCAGCCTGTTCAGTTAAAGAAGCCATAGCTAAAGATGCTGCCTCAACAACATCAAAAGGAGGGGTAATAACATACCCAGTGCACTATTTACCATTGTCCCCTTGCTAAATGAGACCATCAGTGAACCATGAGAAGTCAGGGTTGCCCCGTGGAGCTAGTGTAGATCAGTAAGAGGAATCAGAAGGTGGTCATCAGCACTAGGCAGAGCCGAGCTACTTCATCAGCGACAGAAGGGAAAGGAGTAGTCGGTTACGGTTATTCTAACATAAAAGAATACGGTGAGGAGCAGTTAACAAAAAGACTTCACAGGAACTGTCTGGCTGAGACATATTGAATGTGATGAGAATTCAGGAGAATCTCTACTACACAAGGAACAAAGGGGGCTAAAGGGGATTCCACAACAATTTTCTCAGTGGCCTCAACTGAAAGGGTAGTGGCTATAATGACTCAGGCAAGAGGGGTATCCCCATTCCACAGGGTCCAGTTGCTGGCTACAAGCACCCTATGGGGTCAGAGGTGGTCCCCCATGTTCTAGGTGATTACTCCAAGGTCATTCCCCCCGTTTTCATATGCAAAAACTGTATATATCATTAAACCTTTAGAGCCTTTTAATAATATTTTAACTGTGACATTTTAAACTATTTTTAAATGAAAACCATATTAAGTGGGATAAAAAGCATTTTCTACTCTAACAACAACAACAACAACAAGAACAAAAATTAGGAGATAAAATAGAAAATCAGAAGATGACTAAAGTAAAAAGTTGTTTTCAAACACCCTAAATTCACAAGGATAATGCCTACCCCTTTCATTTACTTGTTTTTAAACCTGATTTTTTTTTTACTGCCTTCCCCAGGAAATCTGATGAATTCATTTTAGTTGACAACAGCCACAGTCCCTCCATTTTCAGCCCTAATTCTTGACTGCCAGGTGTGAGTCAGCTCCCTATCCAGCTCCTTCTCCAGTGGCTCCCTCTTCTGCCCACAGGGGCTTCTATGCAGATGACGATACTTGTGAGCGCTGCAGCTCTTCCTGCAGAACTTGTGAAGGAAATGCCACCAGCTGTCAGTCCTGCGAAGCAGGCCTTGTCCTGGACCAGGGGGTGTGCCGGGAGACCTGCCCCGAGAGGCACGTGGCCATGGACGGGGTGTGCAAGCGCTGCCCAGAGATGTGCCAGGACTGCATCCATGAGAAAACATGCAAAGGTACCTGGGAGCCTCACAGAGGAGAGGGTGGGGGCCCACTATCTGAGAGTGGGATGTCCAAGAAGGTCTGGGGGAAACCATCTCCATGCCTTTACTGAAATTGACCTCTATGGGGGTCAGTGAGAAAACTGAGGGTGACATAAAGCCTTTTCATGATGGATTCTGCAAATTCAGACAGACAAGAGCCCATTTTTTACAAGATTTCTCCCACACATGTCCTGGGCAGTTAGGGTGTGACAAGCACTGTCCCAAGTGCTAGAGGTACAGACAAGAACCCAAAGTGTCTGCTGTTCCGATCACAAAACCTCATGGGAGAGACTAATATTAACAAAACACAGAGGTGGCTGGAGAATTTCAACTGTTACAAAACATACAAAAGTGAGGATCAGGCAACTGTAAGACTCGGAGAGTAGCCCTCTAGCTACGAACTTTCCCTGAGATTATCTCCCGAGAAAGGCTGTCTAATTTCCTCTGCAGAGTAAGACAGATTCATTTAAATGGCTCTGTCCAATCCAAAGGATTTGGTGTAACCTAAGTGCTTTCTGGAATTCCCCCACAAATAAGAGAATAGGCACAAATAAACACACAATGCATTCTTCATACGGATTAACCATGTATATTTCATTAGCTTACCCTATCAGTGAATGGAAAATTAACTATTCCACTAATTCTGAAATTTCTTTCTGTATTAAATAGAGCCAGCAGTGTTCAATAGGAGTTTAAAAATCTGTTAATGCTTTCTGAGCTTTCAGGACAATACATCCAGCATCTCAGCCCTGACTCATCTTCCCTGTGGTTTTTCGCAATCCAAGTGGCAGATCACTTCAGGATTTAAAACCAGGACCATCTAACTGGGCCACCATAAGTGGTCTCCTTTCCCAAGGCAGGGCTTGTGAGGCAAGGTTGACATGCCCTGGGAGAGGGGTGGGTGTGTGCATGTATGTGTTCAGTCATATCTGATTTTTGAGACCCCGTGGACTGTAGCCCACCAGGCTCCTCTGTCTATGGGATTCTCCAGGGAAGGATACTGGAGCAGTTCACCATTTCCTTCTCCCGGAAATCTGTCCGACCCAGATACTGAACCCATGTATCTCCTGTGTCTCCTGCATTGGCAGGCAAATTCCTTGCCACTTGCATCACCTGGGAAGCCCTGGGAGGATGGGGGTGAGGCAAATGTACCCCGGAGTCAAATGTGTCAAAGAGGTAGGGGATGGGCTAGCCCACTACAGAACAAATAAATTCCTTTCTGCTGCTTCCCCCTACCCCAGAGTGCATGCCCGAGTTCTTCCTGTATAAGCATGCGTGCCACCAGTCCTGTCCCAGCCACTTCTACGCAGACAGGCGCCACTGTGTTCCCTGCCATGAAGACTGTCTGGAGTGCAGTGGCCCCTCGGCGGATGACTGCGACCTCTGTGCCGACACGTCCTTGGTTCTCTACGATGGGCGGTGTTTAGATGAGTGTCCAGAACGAACTTACCTTGAAAAAGAGACTCAGGTCTGCAAAGGTAAAGATTTCCGGGTGTGTGGCCGAGCACCACGTCCCAGGGAGCCCACGAGGATGATGGGTTTCTGCTGAGAGAAAGCAGGTCTGGGGTTTGCACAGTTCCAGCCCCAGAGCTGCGGTCTCAGCACTATACATGCTCTAGTTTATTATTTATTTTTAAATGAATCATTCCTTAGCTTCGTGATATAACTTATCAGCCCTGAATCATGTTGACCCCTCCTCACAACGTTAGCTGATCAAAAGGGATTCTCAGGTGAAGACTTACAACATAGGTGATGAGCCTTTGAAAGTCATCCAAAATAGAAAATTTTTCTTAAAATGTTAATCCATTAGAGGTTCACAGCAGTGTGAGGAATGCTGTGCCACAGAGGGTTTTCTCCATGTGTTTTGTCTCTCTAAAGCCCCCTCCTCCTCTTCATCACCTGCAGGCAGCCTCTACTACCTGGGGTCCTCTATTCCACCTCCCATTTGGCATTTCAAGAAAGGATCTGTTATTAATTATGCCTCCTTATGTTTTAACTAGGCATGAATTCTTTGCTTCCTATTAGTTGTCAGGAAGTAGAAAAATTAATTAAATAAACTGCCCATCACTAGAGGAATTCTCAAGCAAGTAAGAGAAGCATTCTGATTGAAAGGACTTTCCTCCCCCCCCCCCCCCCCGGTTTATTGAAATATAATTGACATATATAGCCTTGTATAAGTTTAAGGTGTATGATGTGATGATCTGATATAATTGGTGACCACAATAAGGTCGACCAGCTAATACAGCCATAGTTTTTTTTGTTTGTTTGTTTTCGGTAAGAACACTTAAGCTCTACTCTTAGCAACTTTCAAGTATACAATAAACTATTGTTAACTACAATCACAGGATTCATTGCAGTGAGGCAGTTAGTGGTAATTTAGTTCCTTGAAAGAAGTGAAAGTGTTAGTCGCTCAGTCCAGTCCAACTCTTTGTGACCCCATTGACCCCAGCACACTCCTCTGTCCATGGAATTCTTCAGGCAAGAATACTGGAATGAGTTACCATTTCTTTCTTCAGGAGAGCTTCTCAACCCAAGGATCGAATCCGGGTCTTCTGCACTGCAGGCAGATTCTTTACCATCTGAGCCACCAGGGAAATCAGCCTAGCTCCTTGTGTTGCCACTAGCAACCACGAGTTAGCCACCCAGACCAGAGGCAGGCCCCCTAACCACAGTGGGAGCTCAGGATGAACTCATGTGGCCGGAGAACCTCGTAGCCACCCACATCCTATAACGTATTCAGGAAATGTGTTTGGTCAAACGTGAAGATGCAGTACGTTCCTACAGACTTTCTGATCTAATCTTACGATCTGGATGTACCTTTTTGTGTGTTTTACGTAAAGCCCTATTTAGTTCCACGCATTTGTGAAAGCACATGAAGATGAGCGGCTGTACCTGTGTAGCCAATCTGATCGTGGTCACTACTCTTCAATATATGCATATATCAAACCATCACATTTTTCACCTTAAACTTACACAATGCTGAATGTCATTTTTATCTCTATAAAACCGGGAAAGGGGCCAGGAGTGAGCGCATGGGGAGGCTGCAAACCTATAGGTCAGTTTCCACAAGAAGGTTAAAGGTTTAACTCGGCCAGAGGCCACCTGCCTGCAGGCCATCCTGCCCGCACTAGGCGACTGGGCCTTTCTCTGGTGTTCAGTAATAAAAGTAATCTGCAATGTAGATAACTTTACAAGTTTAGAGTACATGTTCTTAATCTTCCTGATTTAATTTTCTTATTGAGAAAGCCCTCTGGTTCTCATCCCTGGTTGCCCATTAGAACCACCAGGGGAGCTTTAAAAAATACAGATGACTGAACTCAGGCCAGCTCAGCTATTGGGAATTAACCGTTATATTCCAGGCCCTCTAACAGGCACTCTGCTTTTCTAAATGACTATAAAAGAGGTTTGTTTGGTTTTTTTATAATCAAGAAGTATTTACAACACACACTGGCAGCTGTTATGTTAGCAATAAGCTCAGACTACTGGGAGATCAGCAGAGGACCACAGAGGAGGAGTTACAGTGCTGAGAAGCCCACAGACCAGAGTGTGACTTTGCCGCCACAGAACTGCTGGCTGTTATCATGCCGCAGTTTGGGTAATTATGGCAGCTCTCACCAACATCTCTGAGGTGGCTGCTGCAGGAAGGACTGCCTGGGGATTACAGGAAAGTGAACCAGGCATTTTTTTTCTTGTCTTGCAACAGAATGCTCCACCCTAGAGCTCAACTCCTGGCCCCACACCCTTGACACAGAGCCCTAGAGATCTCTGAGCAAGGACGCCGAGCACACTTTTCAAGGAACTGATTCCCTCGAGGGGTGACTGACTCTCTCTCTCTCGTGTGCTGTCCCCACCCGCCCTGCAGACTGTCACAAGTCCTGCCGCACCTGCTCGTCCTCGGGGGCCTGCACGACGTGTCAGGAAGGCCTGAGGGTGAACAACCACGGGGGCTGTGTGCCTCACGCGGAATGCGCCGCCGTGGAGTACTGGGACAAGGAGGCACTAGCGTGCAAGGCCTGTCACGCCAAGTGCCTCCACTGCACGGGGCCCGCGGAGAACCAGTGTCAGACCTGCCTGCGGGACAGCCTTCTGCTCAGTGAGTAACTTCTCCTCCAAGGAGACCTTCTCTTTCCCTCCATCCGGGAGACTCCCTTGTACAATGCCTGGTGCCCTGCAGGAATTGGTGTCTTTTTTTTTTTTTTATTTTTTTACACTGTATTTGGAAAATTTTGAAGCCTACAGAAAAGATGCAAGAGGAAGAATAGTACAAAGAACTCTGCACACCTGCCCTGTACCAACTGACCCCCGCTGGCCTTACATATGCTTTCTCTCACTCACCTCCCTGTAGAAAACATTTGAGCACTCCAGTCTTCCTTATCCATCTGTCTTAGCTCTTCTTTCACATATCTCAGAAAACCTTCTTCCCAGCAGTTGCTGCTTCTTGAAACCATTCCAGATCTCCTGTCTCATCCCAATGCCCAAAACTTCTTTTCTAATTAGCCACGATCTAGAGTGACACCAGAGACCACCTCAGGTACCTTCATACAAACAGAAGATATCTTATCACCACAAGGTGATCTTCTCTCGAACTAGAGGTATAAATTAGACTAGAACTGAGATTTCAGTACTTGTGGTCCCCGCCAAAGCTGGATGCAGGATGTCAAAGACCTGGTCTTCGCATATTCTCCCACCCTGCCCCTTACCACCACCCCATCAGGGTCAGGCTACTTATAAACTAGATAACTCCTCTGGAGGCTGTAGTTGTCTGAATAAGGCTTCCCCTAAAAATGTACACGACCAATCCTCAGACCCAGTGAATATATTACTTTACATGGCAAAAAAATTTGCATATGTGATTAATTAATTCCGTAGGACTATTCTGTATTATCACAAGGGTCCTTATAAGAGGGAAGCAGGACAAAACAGTCAGTAGTTGAAGTCTATGTGACGTCAGACCATTGGAACATTGAGAAGAAACTGGAGGAGGCTACAAGTCAAGGCATGCAGATGACCTTTAGAAGCTAGAAAAAGCAAAGAAACAGATCTTCCCTCAGAGTCTCTAAAAGGAACACAATTCCCTAGACCCACGTTAAGACTTCTGACTTCCAGAATAATAAATTTGCAGCATTCTAAGCCTACACATTTGTGGTAAGAGGAACCTAATACACAGGTGCTTCAACTTAGGGGGATTCAGGCCTCCCCCCTAGTTAACTAGATAACATTAGCTAGACAATAAACCACTGTCAACATCCACCTTTAACAGAATAGCCACTAAGCCAAAACTGGCATTGTGCTGGGTGCTGGAAAAGCAGAGATGAAGGACATGGCCGCTGTCTCTAGGCAGCTGAGAGTGTCCGAGGACAGATTTTGGGTGGATCAACAGCACTAACATGAACTCTAATATCATTTAGGGTTTGTTGTTGCTGTTCCCACCAGTGCCTGTGCAAATGCTGATTGAAGTTATAGAGACAAACCAGCTTCTGGTCTAGAGGTTTGTGACCAGTGGCTCATATTAACAAGGCAGGAGAGCCTGGCTTCTGTTCAATGAGGTTAAGCAGAAGTCAGGGAAGAAGGTGCCTCTAAGACTGCATGTTAAACTGTGAACCCAGAAAATCTCATGTTTTAACTTTACAATGAATCCACCCTTGCCTTCCACGCCCTAAATATTGTCAAGGAAGGTGAAAAGGCAGGAATCAAGACTCCACTGGGATGGGTGGAGGAAGGACTGGGGTTATGTGGGGTGAACAACAAACCTCCAACTCATCTTGCTGAGCAGAGGATTCATGGTTAGAATCTAATTCTTTAAATACATGGACAAAAAGAGAGTCTCACTGCCCAGAGAGCTCTGTGTCTCAATGGTCACGTTGTATGTCTGTCCTCCTACCACTGAGGAAACAAAGTTTAAAATTTCATTTTAATTCATTTGCATTTCAAGAGTCACACTGTCTGTGACTTTACCACAGCAAAGCTGAGGGTAAAATCTTACAATTTCAACTATTTTTAGCCTAAACTATAAGAACTTGTCATCGCTCTGGTCCTGCACTTTGTTTTCTTCAATGGATCCCTGATTCCTGCTATCCCAGCGCCCCTGCCCCAAATGTTCTCCCCATCCTGGGAGACCCTTAACTTCCTCCTGCACACTTTGACAGACAGTGGTTTCTGTCCTGCCCACCACAGTCCATCCACTCTGACCTCTGTTTTTCCTCAACTCCTAATGACCTTATGGTTGATTCTTGGACATTCATCTTAGCTCCCTGGATATCCATCAACCCACAGGGTCACTGTCTCATTCCTCCTGCATCCCCTCTCATCACCCCCCACCCCAGTAAACAGTGGGGAGCATATAGAGCTTAGAAAGACCCATGTCATAGTTGATATCAAGTCAGACTCTTTCCTCCGTTGGCAGACACAACCTGCGTGCAGGACTGCCCCGAAGGCTACTACGCTGATGAGGACAGCCACCGGTGTGCCCCCTGCCACAGCTCTTGTAGGACATGTGAAGGAAGACACAGCATGCAATGCCTCTCCTGCCTGCCAGGCTGGTTCCAACTGGGACAGCAGTGCCTGACCCAGTGCAGAGAAGGGTAAGGTGCTCAACACACCATCCCATAACCACTCCAGATATCACTGTTAGCAAACCCATTCTGCATATGAGGAAGCTAACTCTTGGAACACTTAGACAGCCAGACTAAAGTCTTACTGCCAGTAAGAAACAAAGACCAGAGTCCAACCCAAATGTAATTGCTCTCTAGAGGATTTCAGCCAGTTCACAGTAATGGAAGAGTAAACAGGAAAGGCAGAGGGACCCAATGAGATAACACACAGAGTCAGACTCTCAAGTTAGACCCACGTGCCAAACATCTCCAATTGGAAGGACACAATAATTACAAGGCAGAGGTGATTCTTCTCTTAGAGAAGTCTATGACCACGAAGGTAGGTTCTTTCTCTTCTGGATCTGTTCTGATCATATTTAAAACATGAGGTCTAAGCAGTGGACGTGGAGCATTGAATTTTATAAAGGGCACAATTTCCATCAAATATCTCCACTTTTACCCCACTAATTCTCCAACCTGCCATGCCCCCATTAATCCACAAATTGCAGGTTTAGCTACCATAAGCAACCTAGATACACAGATGTGTCCTTTTAAAAGCATCTCACAGATAAGAGGTCTCCATCCTATGCTTATTCTGTTAGGAAACACTGAGTGTGTTTATCAGAAGGTCTGGTTACCAGCACATTTGGAAGAGGATTTGACTGGGTCATCTCTTCCGCCACCAGGCATCCCCAGAAAAGATAAAGACTGATTACAGGTCTACTGTTAACTCTTCCCTCCCAGTCAGTAACCTAAAGCATTGAGAGTTTCCAGACCCAAATTGCAGGGCTATAATCTTGGACTATGCCCAAATGCTCTTGACCAAATGTGCACATCTCTTATCGTCAGTTTTACAGCCATTACTGCTTATATTATTGTCTTGTGTTTTGATTCATCTCATTCATTCAACACATCCTTAATAAAGAGTTAAGGTGAGTAATACAAAGACTTTGTAAGAGCCTATTCTTCTTATATGTCTCTTTCCCAGAAAATTATAAGCTCCTGGAAGAAAAACACATCTTATTTTTCACACAAGTTTCTACAACACTCAGCACAGAGCCACACACATTAGCAGCTCTCAAAAAACACCAGTCACATAAGTCAATAAAGAAAGGTTCCTGCCAGACTAGAGAGAGGATGGGGCGGCCTGCCTCAGCCCTTCATCTTTATCTTAGTAAGTACTTGAAAAATCTAGATCCCATATAAAGAATCTCCATCTTCCCCAAATCAAGTCATTAGATAGTCTTATGCAGACATACACACACAAAATCTAAAAAGATTGCAGAACATGCAATTAAGAAAACAATTACTCCATAATAAGTGAAGTTCCCTTTTGGAAGTGAGGCACAGGTTGCCATAAATCCCTTAAATGGGGAATAAATAGGGTTTAATTAGATAAGTGGCTATTTTATTGAAATAGTTCCTTTTGTAAAATCACTGATCCACATGCATAAACTTTGTATGCTAAATCCCCTTGGGAAGGCGGGTGTACACTCTTCTGTACCCTGACCCCATGCACATCATTATTTTGGTGTTTAACCTCAGCACGTTTTTAAGGCCCAGTTTGTACTTATGCATGAGATCCTCTTCCAGGCTATGAGGTTCAAATGATTTCATAGTCACCTCATGCAAAAAAAAAGGGCATCCCTGATGACTCAGATGGTAAAGAATCTGCCTGCAATGCAAGAGAACCAGGTTCAGTCACTGGATTGGGAAGAGTCCCTGGAGAAGGGAATGGCAATCCACTCCAGTATTCTTGCCTGGAGAATTCCATGGATAGAGGAGCCTGGCTGACTACAGCCCATGAGGTCTCAAAGAGTCAGACTTGGCTGAGCAACTGAACAACAACTTTGTGTGATCTGTGCTAGGTCCTTCCAACTGTGTCATCTAACTTAATCCCCACAAATAGCAGGGAGGTATTGTAATGTCCAATTCATGGATAAGAAACTGAGACTCAATAGATGTATTAGTATAATTGGTAATGAATCTAATAAGTAGATTCTAAAAGCACTCAGTTTGTAACCATGATTTTTCCCACCACACACAACCTCTGAGCAAGCTGAGTACTGATCCTTTGCTTCTCTCCTTGGTTCAGATATTATGCAGAAAACTCCACAGGACAGTGCAAGAGGTGCAGCAGGAGCTGCAAGGCCTGCCAGGGCCCGCAGCCCACAGACTGCCTGTCCTGTGATCCATTCTTCTTTCTGCTCCGCTCCAAAGGACAGTGTCACCGCACCTGTCCAGAGCATCACTACGTGGAGCAAAGCACCCAGACCTGCGAGAGATGCCACCCGACCTGTGATAAATGCAAAGGTGAGGGCCCATCTACTCATTTTGCACATGTGAATGGAAAAAATGCAAAGCTTTTCTTTCTGCTTTGTCCTTCTCTCCTTTCGTCACCTTTGGAGGTTCCTCCTGCTTGCCAACCTCATAGCCGATCCTCTCTACGATCAGCAGCCGGTGCTCTCTTTCAGCTTCTGCGCATCAGCCCTCAACCCCTAAATGCTCCTGCACCACACTGCTGCCTCATCAGATCCTCCCATCCTTCAAGGCCCAGATACAGACATCATCCCCTACAGCAAGTGTTTCCCACCTACTGCCTTCCTTCTCTGCCTGACTAACTTGGAATCTGCCAAGCAGAATTAATTTCATTATTTACAATTATGTTGGCCTAAAATTGTTCCAAGCTCCATCTTATTCTCCAGAGACCGACTTGTCTGTCTCAGAGATTCTTAAAATCAACATGTCCCAGAGTAAACACAATCGGGGTTTCCTCTGATATTCACTCCTTCTGTTAATGGATCCACTGTCCAACCAATTGCCCAGGTCTGATATCTTGAAGTTATCTTTCATTTGCCTCCTGTACACTCACATCCCCTCCAACAACAGTAAACTTCAAGGCCTATTTATTCTCCCCACTAAACATTTCTCTGCTCAGATTTCTTTCTCCATTCCTACTATGCTGATTCTTCATTCTTAGCATCTTAGATGATTTTCTGAAACAGGCGGATCACCACCCAACTCCGGTCTTGCTACTCCATACCCAGGTCATCCTGTACAATAAGTAATGCCAGCACAATCTTTCTAAAATTCCAATTTGCTCATTTTTCTCCACAGTCTGACACAGAATATTATGGTGAATTCCTCTCAAAATTTCAGAAAGAAATACCTCCTATGATGTTATTCTTCTTAAAATGTATTAGATTAATACTGACAGCTGACAGAGGATGAGATGGTTGGATGGCATCACCAACACGATGGACATGTGTTTGGGTGGACTCCGGGAGTTGGTGATGGACAGGGAGGCCTGGCATGCTGTGGTTCATGGGGTCGCAAAGAGTCAGACACGACTGAGCAATTGAACTGAACTGAAGGATACATTCCCATTAACCTTTTCAAAATCATCTTGGCTATAAATAGCTCTTTTCCTATATAAATTTTATAATCAGTCACATACCATTTAAAGAATTCCTTGGATATTAATTAGCATTGCACTGAAATCCATCTTTACAATCCGGACATCCTTATGAACATCGTATAGCTATCTCTTCAATCTATGCACTCACTTTTTCTCCTGATACTTTAAATAAATGTTTTCTATCTTTAAAAAGTAACTGAATTCTTTCCTCAGTCAGTCCTCTTAGCTTATGGTCTCAACTCTCCTCCCTTATACCTTGAACCTGGAACCACCCAGAAGCATTCAGCAGCCACCAAATAAGATCATCACTTTCATGCCTCCATGACTTTTGTCTGTGCATTTCTTCCTCCTGGAGAACAACACTCTATTAACTTTCAAGTTAAAGACCCAGGTTGAATGTCACCTTCTCTGTGAAGCTTTACTTAGTCTTCCCAGAAACCTTCCTTCTTCCCAATTATACAGTCACAGCTGTTTTTACATTACATTTCAATTAAACATGCCTGTCTCTTATTAATTGTAAGACCCTCAAAGCAAGGACTGGACCACATTCATTTTGTAGCCCCTATTTCTAGTCTGGAGTATCATACACAGTAAGTTTCCATTAAGTGTTTACCAAATGGATGAATGAATAGAAAATAAATAAATTCTAATGTCTTTTTGCAAATCAAAAAATGTCAGGCACTCTGTAACCAACCAGTCCTCCGTTAAGCTCTCAGACTGATCTTTCTACCTGACTAACACTGTAAGGACGCCTCTCTGCTTAAATAAGACTCTCCATCGATTTCAGGGTAGAATCTTAACTTAGCTTTGCATAGAAGTTCTTCATAATGAGACTCTGCTCATAGTCACCTCTCACCCCTCCTCCTCCTGCACCATCCTCTAATCCAAGCACAATTAGTTACTGTAAACCTAAGCCAACCATGCTGCTTCTCCTTCTGGAGTTCATCTCCGGCCTGTTTTGTCTGGCTACCTCTTTTAGACCCCTTAGAGTCAGCATTGTCTCTAGAAAGCCTCCTGTAACCAGTCTCCACTTACCTGTGTTTGGTAAGCATTCTACAATCATTCACCTTTTTATTTATGCAACACTTATGCAGCACTATGACCCAGATAATATCAATACAACTGTGAACAGGAAAAACATGTTCCCTGCAGTCGAAAGGGCATATTTTATAATTGCTTGCTTGCTTTTTTGTCTCTCTTTCTCTAGACTGAGATCCTCAAAGGCACACAGTAATGTGTCTTGCTTACCCTGGCTTCTCTAGCACTTGGCACGGTCACAGGAACGGCTGGCAGCCGCAACGGGCTGCTTCAAGGGCTCCTGCGGGCGATGGTGGGGACCCCAGGCCAGGGCAGCAGGGGTCTGGTTCGCAGGCGGAGCCCCGCGCCTGCCCAAGGCCCGGGTTATGGTAGCAGCTACCACGGTCCTCAACACAGCTAAGGCGGTGGAGCTCTGCGCTCTGTACAGCCTCGACCTCAATCCGTCATGACCGTCAGCGTGCCCTCCCCAGCCCCCCGCAGCTGAGGCAGCCAAGAAGTCCATCTCCAACCGGGAAGCGATGGAGAAGCTGGTGGGCATGGCGCACACCGGCTTTCCAAGAGCACCGCAGGCCTCCTCGCCTTCAAGGGTGAGGTGGAGACACGAGAAGTCAGTTCTTTCCTGGCCTGCCTCCAGGGCAAGGCCATTCAGCTCAGCAGCTTCGCGGACGTCCTCAAGGTGAGCACGGCCGAGTTCAAAATGGATTTCACCACCCGCCACGACTGGGACTCCTTCACCTGTGCTGGAAGCAGTGAAGGACACGCTGCCGGGGGAGGCCGAGCACGATGCCCGTGGCAGCGGGGGGCTGCCCGGAAACGGCACCTCCTCAAGCAGCAGGGCCCGGAGAGGCTGGGCCGGGAGGTTCTGCTCGAGGAGTCCAAGTCTGAGGAGATGCGGCAGGTGACCCCGCCTGGGAGGAGATGGCCGACCCGAACTCCCCCACCTTCAGTTTGGGGGACCCTGGACCTTGAGGCCCAGCACGCCGCGTCTTCTTCCAAGCCGCGGGCGCCTGGCGCGGGGTGACGCTCCAATCACAGGCGAGGCTTCACAAAGCCGCGGTTCGTGGCCTCCGGGTCTCGTTTGATTAGACCAAACACCTGAGCAATGCCTCAATTAAGAACTGATTCCTCGAGCGGCAGAAATTTCTGCAGCTGAAACAGCAGACAGACGAGCGCCAGAGGGGCAGAGGCACTGGAGCAGGGCAAAAGGAAAACAGAAAGAAGTAGCGGAACTGGAGAGAAGGCAGAGAAGCTTCCGCATGAGGGAACAGGAGCAGAGGGGCCGGGGATTCCATCAGAATCTTTCTAGAAGCTGCAGTAAACCAGCAAAATGCTGCGAGGGGGAAAAAAAAAAAAACCACAGAGAAAGGAAACCTCAGCAGGTCAGGAGGAGTCTGCAGCCCATAATGCTGATTGCGGGGCGGCTGAGCCAGGCCAAGGTACCGCCCCGCGTGGCGCCCACGGTCTCCATCTCCAGCGTGGACCGCCTCTTCCAGCTAAGATGTAACCTATGGGAGTTTTTTTTGAAACTCCCAGCCACAGCCTCCCTCCTCCTTCGCTGGTTGCAACCGTAACCCCGCCCCCCCCCAATTGTCTAAACACGAAGAGGGGGGAAAAACTTGGTTTGAGGGCTCGATACAGTTTTTGTCTTGTTTTAAAGTAACTCTAAGTAACATAAACATTAAATTACTCATAGCTAGAAAGTGCTTATAGGCTAGTGGACAACCTCAACTATCCTGGGAGTGGTCATGTGCTATAGTAGTCCTAGAATTTCTTTTATGCATCTCACAGCGTGGTGTGTCACTTCTGATCAATAGAAAGATAATCTAAGCCAGCTATATCTTAGTTTTTTTCAGTCACGTTTTAAAAATAAACAAGTACATTAATAATATATTAACCAACATATAAAAATATTTAACATATTGTCAATATGAAAATTATTTAGATTATACTTTCTTTTTTTTGTACTGAGTCTCAAAATCTGATGTTTATTTTACATTTACCCACAACTCAAATTGGAGTAGCTACATCACAAGTGCTCAATAGTCAATGTAGGGCTGCTGCTGCTGCTAAGTCACTTCAGTGGTGTCCGACTCTGTGTGACCCCATGGACGGTGGCAGTCCACCAGCTCCTCTGTCCCTGGGATTCTCCAGATAAGAATACTGGAGTGGGTTGCCATTTCCTTCGCCAACTGTATGGCTAGGAGCTACCATATTGGACAGCTCATTTCTAATTTAGAACAGTGGTTTCAGATTGTGTTTTAGCAGTAGGCGATCTTCTTCAGATGAAACCTTTGGCTGAATCCTATTATGTACATAATCAGGGCAGAGCTGCTCAGTTTGGAGCAGAACAGGATATCAGAGCCCCATCTGATGCCCCCATTTGTCCCCTCCCAAGCACTTCCAGGCAGTTCTTGAGGCAGCTCCATGAATCCGTAGCATACAGTGGTACCCATTCTTCACTCATCTACAATTGATTTTAATCTTTCAAAGAATTACCTCCCAAACAAACTACATTTAAATAATCATTAATTTGTGTTCTTTTTTTCCCCATTTCAGAGGCATGTATAGTTGCTGCTCAGAACTTTTAATCAGGATCAGATAACAAAGAAGAGGTTACAGTGAATTGGGGGTGAAGTGGGAGAGTAGTGGGAACTTTGCATTGTCATTGGCCCTATGATAGTAAATATTGACGTTCTGTGAGGTTTTTTGGAAAGTTGAAGGTAGTACATCTGCTGCTGCAGTTACTAGATTTGTGGGGCTATCATTCCATTTAGGATTGCCAGGTAAAACACTGTATTTTAATTTTGTACATGTAAAAACACAAGTCCCATCTCCCTAGTTCAGTGCGGTGCTACTTGGGAGAGGAGAAACATTTGTTAATAGTTTCTAATCAGGATCAGGCAAGCATCATTAGGTGAGTTAATGTCTCTTAACATCAGTCAATCAAAACAGGGCAACACCAGCTTTTTAAGAATTTTGTGGGGATTGGAAAAATTTTTAGTGATGTCAGCACAGTTTGAAAAAACCATAAATTTCTTTAGTTGGATTTGGGGTTTCCTGAGTGAATTAATGATGATGGTTTGGAGCATTTCCACGCTCAAAAATTCACCAGTACCTTCAGATGATGGAATACTAGTCAGTATTAAAGAGAGATGAGCTATCAAGCCATAAAAAGACACTGAGGAAACTTAAATACCTATTAGTGAAAGAGGCAACTCTGAAAAGGCTTCATACTGTATGATTTCAACTATGTGACATTCTGGAAATGGTGTGGTTGGGGGGAGGAAGTGGATAGGGAGAGATGAATAGGCAGAGCACAGAGGATTTTTAGGGTAGTGAAAATATTCTGTATGATACTAAAATGATGGATACATGCAATTATACCCTTGTCCAAACCCATAGAATACTCAACACAAAGAGGGAAACCCAACATAAGCTGCAGACTTAGGGTGATTATGATATGTCAAAGAAGGTTTATCTTTGTTTAAAAAAAATTCCATTCTGGTGAGTCATGTTAGTAATGGGGAAGGCTATGCATGTGTGAAGGCAGGAGGTATACAGGAAATCCTTGTACGTCTCTGTCAAAGATTTTGTTGTAAACCTAAAACTGCTCTAAATGAATAATAATAGTAAAGTCTTAAAGATAAATTTCATCAACACAGCCTCCCTGAGATTGTATTCCAGGGATAACGGGGCATAGCTGGGAGAATCTTAAAGCCACTCTGAGAGTTTGTGCCTCCTCTCCTGTATTTGACGTGAACCCCGAGTATTCCTGGTCAATGCTTTCTATCTTTGATGTTCATTTCTTCTGCCTTCCTTTCTTCACCTACCACACATATCCTTTGCTGGTTAATGAATCTTTGTGCTGCCTTCTGATTTTGCAATATAGAGATTACAAAATGTGGGGACAAGTTTTCTCCTGGGTTGTAAACTGGGTGAAAAAACAAAGGATGAATTCTTTCCTTCTTAAAGTATTAGCTGTCATACTAAGAAATGAGGGTGCATAAAGGGTACAGAGAAAATTTCCCACCCTAAATAAGTAATTTACCGAGTAGATTGTGTTTCATTCACATTTGACTGCCCAATAATATTAGGCTGTTACAAAATACTTAAAAGAACTGAAGGGGTTGGGGAAGGACAACCTACTAAGGGCCAGGATGTGTCTTTTCTGCACCATGTTTCTTTATAATTAGCTCTTTCGTTGCCTTCATGCATTTCACTTTGTATTTACCCTCCACACAAAATTGTTTTAAATAAAAATCCAGGCTGGTTAACCAAAGCCTCCTAACTCTCTCAAGCTGCCTTAGGGGGAAGGAAAGAAGTAGGAGAAGATTGATTCTCTCATCAGAGACCACAACTGTGTTCCAGAACATGTAGGAAATTCTACATGAAGCTGGAGGGAATATAGAAATAGAATGGCTTTGAATTTATATCACTATAGGCAGCCCCCAATCTAAGAAGTTTGGTAATAAAGATTTATTATCTGAGCTGTTGTTCAGAAGTCAGAATTCACTTTTTCATAGAAACATTATAAATGATCGGGTTCATAGATCAGGTATGAAAAGTAGATTGAAATCCATAGTGAATTTAAGATGAGGACTCAAGGTTCTACTTCGAGTTCAACTAACCACCCATTACAGTATTTTTCTAATGGAAAGATCTACAGATCACGTTCCAGCTCATGGTGTCAGGCACATTCCATGCCGCATCGTCTCCCTGCTCTTGCTTCTCTTTCTAACGCAGTGAACTAGAGCTCAGCTCTCCTGTTCCCAAACTCTCTCCAGAAGTTATCCCTTGCTAACTGCATAGAAAGAAATGCTTGGGTTAGTCATTCTTTGGGTCTCTGAGTTAGGAGAGAAGTGTTACCTCCGCTGGAAGCAGACTTCCTCCTCTTGGTTCATGTGTGAAGGCAAGTAGTATGATCAAAGAGCTCTGCACTGTCAGTCAACAAACCTGGTCCAACTCTTGACTCAGCCATTCTCCATGTAACCTGGACTGACGAATTCACGTGTCTGGGCGTTAGTTTACATTTATTTAAAAATTAAATAAATAGAATGTCAAATTTCTGAGAAGAGAGTTTACTGCTTTCTAGAGAATTTCAAAGGAACCTATCATGACAATGCTCAAAATTGAGAACTACTGGACAAAATGATCTAAATTCTTTTAGCCCTAGCATTTTAAATTGCAAGTCTGGTGTTATTTCTTAATTAGGAACTGTCCATTCATGATTTACTCATCAAGTTTTGGAGCCCTTCAAATCACTCTCATCCTCTCTACTAGTTAAACTATAAGCAGAATGATAAATAAAAGCTATTACAAACTTTCTACATGATTTGTCACTCTCTGAAAATCTTTTCTTTTGCTGTAATAAAGTATCTGTCATCTCCTAACCCATAATTTCCAAACTGAGTTTATGTTGATTAGACTAACTGGGTAAGTTTTAGGTCTTTACTTGGTATCTCATAGACTTTGTTTTTCCATATCCTCAATCATTCACCTTTCTACTTCAAGTTACTTGATGTGTTCTTGCTCCTGTTTCAGATCCAAGACAGAGATTGAAATCTAAGGTCAGTCTCATAACTTGGAATCCTTCTGTTTTTGTCTTTCAGGGAAAGGAGCATTGAACTGCTTGTCCTGTGTGTGGAGCTACCACCTGGTGGGAGGACTGTGTACCTCGGACTGTCTTGTGGGGGAGTTCAGAGTGGGAGAGGTATTCGGACTGTCTTGTGGGGGAGTTCAGAGTGGGAGAGGCACAGAGCTGGGTGTGGTGTGCCTTCACTCACTGCTGCAGAGGGACGTGAGCTAGTTTCTGCTTGTCCTTTTGGGCAAAGTCCAAAAAAATCATAAAATCGCTACACACACTATAGCTCAGGTTTAATATTTGTAAATCTTCTACCACTGCATTGTGGAATAATGGCACTACCCATCTGTAACCTTAATTCCAATCAAAGGAGCTGAGAAGACCTGAGAGAAATAATGGGACGTTATTTAATGAAGACAACAATATATTGCTCACAACCCTAGAAGTTTCAGGTCTACATAGGAATATTATGCCAGAAATAAGAACTGTCTTCTCTTCTCCCCCTCTGCTGACTAACCTGAAACATCTGAAGAATGTTAGAACTACACAACCAATGTTGGTCCTTCTCCTCCTCCCTTCACAGACCATCAAGAGAGAGACGTTTCATTTGCTAGCCTAGAAACCATGAATTCTGAGTCCACTTTTTTTAAAATTTATTTATTTTTTACTGAAAGATAATTGCTTTACAGAATTTTGCTGTTTTCTGTGAAATCTCAACATGAATCAACCATAGGTATACCTGAGTCCACTAACTTCTTGATTGTGTTTCCAAACTTTAGAAATTAAGTAAATGGTAAAACTCACATGACCCACCATATTCACATATGCCAGTCTCTTTAAATTCGGATAAGAGCCCTGAGTACACTTTGGAGAAACCGAGAATCTGAGAGGTTAAATACAGTACACTGATAAAGATTCTACAAGTAGTAAATCACAAAGTTGGGATTAAACCCAGGGGTTCTGACTCCTAATCCAGGATTTGATGAAATCTCAGCTGAGAAAGCATCTTATCAGCACCTGGAAATTGCCAAACAGTGGCAATTTTCATTCCTTCTTTTTCTGCCTTCCAAAGTGCAGAAGTGAAATAAGAAGGTATGTTCCCTCATCCACATTTTCAGCACCAGTGAAATGAAGCAGCTTATTGGGAAGGAAGTCACTTTATTTAATCTCTCAACAATCTTTCCACTGATATTTCACTGTGTTAGCTAAACAGTCACAATTTATATTATCCTAGGGCAGAGGCACACAAGAATCTTAATAGCCAGAGGCCGGGCAGATCATATAAATGAGTCAAGAGTGTTGGGTCAAAAAAACAAAAAAACAGTGCAAACTTGACCATAGGCAGAGTATGACATTTCATCTATGTGTTGGTGACATCAGAGCACACTCTGAGGATTGTATTAAATAGGAGAACGCAAAAAGGGGCCTGCCACTCAACTCTATCTGTGATATGGGGGTGATGAATCCAGTGTTGATAAGTCTGATAGTTTTGACAGAGAAACCCAGAACTGACTTATGTGTGAAATATCCCAATTTTGAAATGTAGGCAATGAGTTCAAATTTATTTAAACCATGAAATCCAATTGAGTATGGACCAAACAAAACTTGTCCTTGACCAGGTCCAGCTCATGGCCATCAGGGTGTAAACTGAGCTATCCTAGAAGCTTGTTCTCACTGTTATCACCAGCAGATCTCTGAGGAAAAGCTCAACACTGGCTCCATTGAGTGCAGACAGCCGGTTCTGTCTTTCACCCAGAAGAGTTAAAATGGACTCAGAGCAAATCAGCTTTCTGCCATCCCCGACCTGCTCCTTCTTTATCCAGAGGAGAGGGAACTGCCATCTGGGAACTCTCAGTGTCTTGTTAATTTCTCCACACTCAAAAGGAATCTGATTGTTCTTAACAGGGGGAGAAATTTAACTGTGAAAAGTGCCACGAGAGCTGCATAGAATGCAAGGGTCCCGGCAGCAGGAACTGCACCGTGTGCCCTGCCGGCCTGGTGCTGCACATGGACGACAGCCGCTGCCTGCGTTGCTGCAATGCCTCCGGTCCCACCAGTGCCCAGGAGTGCTGTGACTGCCACAATACCCAAGGTGAGGGGAGGGGAAGCGAGTTTTGCAGAACCAGAGGAAGGACGTGTCCTCGGGATGCTCACAGGAGCATGAGGGGGAGAGGGATGGGACGTTTCAGAGGACCAATAGAGCTGCCTTTTTTTCTAATGACTTTTTAAATGTATTTTTAGTTGAAGTATAGTTGATTTATAATGTTAGTTTCTGGTGTACAGCAAAGTGATTCAGTTATATATATGCGTTTCTGCTTGTTCAGTTGCTTCAGTCGTGTCCGACTCTTTGTGACCTCATGGACTGTAGCCCACCAGACTCCTCTGTCCATGGGATTTTCCAGGCAAGAATACTAGAACAGGTTACCATGCCCTCCTCCAGGAGATCATTCTGACCTAGGGATTGAACCCATGTATCTTGCATTGCAGGCAGATTCTTTACCACTGAGCCATGGGGGAAGATTTATATGTTTTATATATATATATATTTATATACAACATATAGTCTTTCATATTTTTCCAGTATGGCTTATTATAAGATAAAGCTACCTTTTTATTGAGTGCTTACTATTTGTCTAGTATATTTGGAACTTTCTGTCCACTATTTAAGTAGATAATATCAATCCCATTTTACTGATGAGAAGACTTGGGTTCAAAGGATTTGATTAGTATGCCCAGAAGATCCCCCTGAAGGAGGGAATGGCAACCCACTCCAGTATTCTTGCCTGGAGAATTCCATGGACAGGGGAGTCCATACCAATGTTAAGAGGCTCATGTGAAATTAGAACATGGGTCATTTGGACTAAAAGCCAGCATTCTTTCCACTCCTGTGCTGCCTCCCAGATTCAAACTCAAGCAGGTCTAAAGTTTCATCTTTATAAATTTATAAACTTTATTCCTTTTTTTTTTTTTTTTTGGTTTTTCCTTTCTTAGGAAAAAAGGAAAAGAATCACCTATCACAGAAACTGATGCCAATATTATCTTGATTCTGTTGAAAAATCATTCTGTGGAAGTCAGTTCAAATCCAGGGCTCCCATTAGAGACTTAAGACATTTTATAAATGAGATTTTATTGAAGGCTTTCTTACAAAACCCAGTTTACCAATTCCAACCCCTGAACTGTCTCCCCACCCCAACCCCACTTGTATAGATACTTGGTTCTCATTGGCTACAAGCTTAGAAAGGCCACAAATGGAGTGATATCTTCTAAAAAGAAAAATGTAAATTTTTTTTTAAAATTTATTTTAATTGGAGGCTAATTACCTTACAGTATTGCAGTGGTTTTTGCCATACATTGACATGAATCAGCCATGGGTTTACATGTATTCCCCATCCTGAACCCCCCTCCCACCTTCCTCCCCATCCCATCCCTCAGGGTCATCCCAGTGCACCAGCCCTGAGCGCCCTGTCTCATGCCTCGAACCTGAACTGGCGATCTGTTTCACTTATGATAATATAAATGTTTCAATGTTATTCTCTCAAATCATCCCACCCTCGCCTTCTCCCACAGAGTCCAGAAGACTCTGTGCATCTGTGTCTCTTTTGCTGTCTCTCATATAGGGTCATCATTACCATATTTCTAAATTCCATACATATGTGTTAGTATACTGTATTGGTGTTTTTCTTTCTGACTTACTTCACTCTGTGTAATAGGCTGCAGTTTCATCCACCTGATTAAAACTGATTCAAATGCATTCTTTTTAATGGCTGAGTAATATTCCATTATGTATATGTACCACAGCTTCCTTATCCATTCATCTGCCAATGGACATCTGGGTTGCTTCCATGTTCTAGCTATTGTAAACGGTGCTGCGATGAACATTGGGGTGCATGTGTCTCTTTCAGATCTAGTTTCCTTGTGTGTCAGCACAGCAGTGGGATTGCTGGGTCGTATGGCAGTTCTATTTCCAGTTTTTTAAGGAATCTCCACAATGTTCTCCATAGTGGCNCATTTAGATCTTTAATCCATTTTGAGTTTATTTTTGTGTATGGTGTTAGAGAGTGTTCTAGTTCCATTCTTTTACAAGTGGTTGACCAGTTTTCCCTGCACCACTTGTTTTTTCTTTTCTCCATTGTATATTCTTGCCTCCTTTGTCAAAGATAAGGTGTCCATAAGTGCGTGGATTTATCTCTGGGCTTTCTAGTTTGTTCCATTGATCTATATTTCTGTCTTTGTGCCAGTACCATACTGTCTTGATGACTGTGGCTTTGTAGTAGAGCCTGAAGTCAGGCAGGTTGATTCCTCCAGTTCCATTCTTCTAAAAAGAAAAATACAAATTCTTAAAACATTCTATAGTGCAAAAGTATATCATTTCTTTGGGGTTCAGCTACATCATGGCTTGACAAAAAAAGAGACATCATATTTATGGGAACCTGTCCATTTATAAAAAAAAAAGTAAACCCCAGACCCCAAACCACTACTGGCCTTTTCTGTTTTATTTTTTATCAACCTTTTCACTTCTAAATATCCTGTTTCCAAAAACTAATTATTTCCTCCTTTCAGCAATCCTGCCTCCATGAGCAGCTGGTTTTCCCAGCTCTTCACACACATCCACCTTCAGGGTCTGATTGCTTATTATTCATGCTGTGTCATCTAAGAATAATAACCCTCAATGCATTGATGGCTTCAAATGAAACCAGAAGTGTGTGCATGTTGGATGTAGAGTTTCAGCAAGACTTTTACAACTAAGAACTACTTATTCAGCTTTCCTGGGCTTTCTGTAGCTCTTGAAGATTCACCTGGGGCAACTCTGCAAAAGACTAAATACTCTTGATTACCTGCTCATTCTTTACTGTGTCACTCGGCTCCTTCAAAGAAGAACCCATATCACAGAAACTGATGCTAACTCTCCAAGCCTAAGACTGGAGGATAGTAAGACAGGATTGTATATGATGCCCTATTAACTGAAACAACCTCACAAGGTCTTTTATTGAGTCTCCTGTCTCAGACAGGGTTTATCACAAATTACCACATACAGAGGGCTTCCAAGGTAGCTCCAGTGGTAAAGAATCTGCCTGCCAATGCAGGAAACACAAGAGACATGGGCTTGATCCCTAAGTCAGGAGGATCCCCTGGAGGAGGGCATGGTAACCCATTCCAGGATTCTTGCCTGGAGAATGCCATGGACACAGGAGCCTGGCAGGCTACGATCCATAAGGTCACAAAGAGCCAAACACGACTTAGCAGGCACACACCACACACAGATTGCAATCCTTATTGCTTATCCTTCCCTCTAGTGCTTTAATATTTCCTCCAGTGGAAAAATTCTGTTCTAGTATATTAATGATAAAAGTAGTCATGATGGTACTGTTACTTTAGGAGATGAAATTCTGTTTGATGGGCAAAATCCCATGAGGATGAAAGTTAGGATAAAATTTTTAAAAAAACTTGTTTATCACTAGCAAAAAGAGAAGAAAAGAAACACATAGTGGTGATGATGATGAATCACACCTAATTGGCCAATATATATTAAGCAAAAGTAATTAACCCTAAAATAACTGGCACAGTATTATATCCATTAAGCTAGTGTACATAATGTACCTAGAATCTCATAAAACATCCTGAGGGCAGAACTAGTTGGTTCAAAAAATATTTATGGAAAATGTACTGTTTTATTTAAACTTGTACATCCAATAAAGCCTGCTAGTTTTTCTTTCTAGTTCTTTCATACTCTCACACTCCCATTTGGTGGGTTAAAGAATAGAAAAAAAAAATTAGGTAAATCATACCACCTGAATAAATGAGTGAAAATGAGTTCATCACTGAGTTATGAAACTGTTTTGGTTGCTCCATGTTCTCAATTAAGTCATCAAAACCAAGGATGATGAATGATAGAGAGGCAGAGCTGTCAGCTTCAGAAATCTTAGTTATGATAGAAGAAATCTATCACTCAATTTGGCAGTCAAAATTTAAAGATGAGAGGGAAACAAGAATTTAAAGATGGTAGTTTTCTTCCTGTCAGATAAGGTCCACAGGATGTCAGAAAGTAAAAAAAAAAAAAAATTGCCAGTGTTTTGCCCTATTGTCTCCAGACAGTAGCCTAAAGTAGGGATTTCTGGGTTTTAATTCCGATCACTCCACAAACAACTTCTAACCTCTGACGATGTGATAATTCAGTTTCTCTCTGTGGGTCTCCATCTCCTCAACTATCAAACAAAACTGACCTGTGATTTCTATGGCCCCACACAGCAATGAATCAATGGTTTTATAAATAATCTGTTCCTGTCTTTGAATGATGGGACAATCCTGTTGAATCAGGTTTAAATGTAAACCTGATTTAAAGCTGGGGAAAAGACTCAGTCTTAGAAAAAGCTAAAGTTGAAACAGAAATAGAGCATTTAACAATAACTGCAACCTAGTCCAGAATGGAATTTTTCTCTCAAGAAGGGAAGAGAAGAATCGATTTGGTAAGGTTGGACCCTTGATGACTGACCCGTGAGGTGTGGATATGACGGGGGGCTCCCTTTGGTCCTCAGACTGACCTTCACCCTAGAAGAGTTTGTTGGTGTCATCTCAGATGGGCTGAAACTCTCCTGGAGTACACACAGCAGTTCTGTAGAGGGACATGCTCTCTAAGGAAATCAAAGACAGTGGTTCTGCTATTTTAGACTCAAAAGATAAAGGTGAAACCCTTTACTTCAGAAACTAATTTTCTCCGTTCCATTTCTTCTCTTCCACCCTTCCCCTCTGTCCTCTTCCTTTGGGATCATCTTCCAACAGATGAGTGTATCCTTCAAGCACGTGAGGTTGAGCCTGCAGGTGAGCGTTCCAAGACAGCCCTGTTGATGACTTCCTCCATCATGCTGGTGCTTCTGCTCGGGGCAGCTGTGATTGTCTGGAGGAAATCTCGGGGCAGAGCCAAGTCAACAGAAAAAGGCGGCTATGCAAAGCTGGCTGAACCTAGCGTGTCTTACTCCTCCTATAAGAGCAGCCATCGTGAGAGCTTTGAAGAGGATCAGGTGATTGAGTACAGAGACCGGGAGTATGATGAGGATGAGGATGATGACATTGTCTACATGGGCCAAGATGGCACTGTCTACCGGAAATTTAAGTATGGGCTGCTGGATGATGACAATGAAGACGACCTGGAATACGATGATGAGAGCTACTCCTACCAGTAAACAGAGGCCATGCCCACCCCACCACATTCCGCTCATGGGCATGTATGTGAGCATTACAGTGTTGGATTTTATCCCAACGTATCAGGCTGACGTGAGGGTGTTTTCCTTCTTAACCAAGAATCCAACTAGAGTATATGAGAGTGCTGAAATATTTTGTTCTTTTGGATGGTTAAACTCAATTAACCATAATTATTCAACCATGATTGAGAAACAAGGATAAAATTTGGAGGAATTGTTCTCGAAACAGTATCTCAAGACATAAAACATAGAAAGTTTTTTTTTAAAGTGAAATTTTTGTGCAAACCATTTCATGTGATTAAAAAAAAGAAATAGACCTATAGAAATTCTGTTTCTCAGCTGCATTGTAGAGATATTTGCTACCTTTTCAATTTCTGATATTTCTGTAATTGATTTTGGGGGATGAGGAGACAGAAGAACTGTTTGTCTTAGGGGATTTTCCTCCCCTTTTAGTTCTCTTGGGGCAGAGATTTGTTCCTTAAGAGACCACTAAAGAAAGTTCTCCTCCTCATGCCATTTATACCAATTACTCCAGCTCCCTGAGTAATAGAGACCACCTCTGCTGAGGCTGATCAGGATCTATTTATAGACAGGAGAAAAGACATGAGAGGTTGCTTCAGAGCCAGGGAAGCATGCATCCTCCATGCCTTGGTTCCTCTGCAGTAGTCCATAGTCATGATGATTCTAGAGCAAGCTCAGGCAGGAGACTGGTGACAGCAAGCCCAGGAGGAAAGACATCACCATTTCTAAGAATGGTCAGTCTTACATTCTCGTGATTTTTCTAAGGGTGTTTCTGGTTAGAAACAACAGCTAAAACATCAAGTAATAAAAGAAAATTGGCAATGTTAACCTAACATAAAATGGGATGAAATGACAAAAACTTCAGATACTCTTTTAAAAAAAAGACTTTAGCTACTAAATTAAAGAGCTTTTATGAACAGCCCATCACAGAACTGTGGGCTCGCCACAGAAAAAGTTAGAATGTAGTCTAACATGGAAATTCCCAACATCCTGCTCACCAGCTTAATCCAGCTGCTGACCAGCCTTCCAACACTCTTCATCTCTATGATTTTTTGTTTCTAGACATCCTAGGCATCCCTTTTTCCATCCTCCTGTCAAGTATACTCTTGGATTTGTGCACACAGGAAAGTTTTTCTGCAGTCAATACAGAGAAGAGTTCCTGCTAAGTGAAATTAAGTAAGCAGGGTTTTATGTATTTCCTTGTCAAAACAGAAGTGATTGGCAGTCTTGGGAGTGAACCACCAGAAAGAGATATTTTCAGATAATGAGGACAATCACACACAAACATAAATGTATTTCACACTATGTACTAGGTACCAAGCTCGATAAGTCCTTTTAAAAACTCACCCCATTTAATATCACTGTAACTTCTTAAGGTTGGTACCATTATTACTCTTTTTTTGAATAGGAAAGCCAAGGCTTATGAAAAGTTAAATAGCCCAAGGTCACAGAAAGCTTATCAAGGTTTAGGGGAAAAAGGATGACTCTAAAATGTGTGTTCCTAAAAACTATGCTACACTGACACGGAATAGAAAAAGAAGCATCCTAAATCTAATGAAGGCCTATCTTACTTTATGATATGGCAATGCTATTCTCTTTCCTGAATGTGTACATTTTCTTTTTTTAAAAAAACATATCACTGACACAGGAAATCTTTGTAAAGAAGTCTTGGGTTTACTGAAGGCCTCTGTGTTTCTTTAAGGGAAAGCTCTTAAAACAAAGATTGGCAGACTTTCTCTGAGAAGAGCCAGATAGTAAATACTTTAGGCTTTGCACAACTCTCAGCTCTGCCATTGTGGCATGCATGCAGCCAACCCACAACAAATGGGTGGGCTGTGCTCCAAGAAAACTTTATTTATGGACACTGAACTTTGGATTTAAGATAATTTTCACATATCATAAAATAGTATCCTTCTTTTGATTTTTTTCCTCAGTCACTTAAAAATGTGAAAAGTCATTCTTGCCTCAAGGCAGTAAAGAAACAGGTGATGGGCCAGATTACCTCTGCTGAGGCTGATCAGGATCTATTTATAGACAGGAGAAAAGACATGAGAGGTTGCTTCAGAGCCAGGGAAGCATGCATCCTCCATGCCTTGGTTCCTCTGCAGTAGTCCATAGTCATGATGATTCTAGAGCAAGCTCAGGCAGGAGACTGGTGACAGCAAGCCCAGGAGGAAAGACATCACCATTTCTAAGAATGGTCAGTCTTACATTCTCGTGATTTTTCTAAGGGTGTTTCTGGTTAGAAACAACAGCTAAAACATCAAGTAATAAAAGAAAATTGGCAATGTTAACCTAACATAAAATGGGATGAAATGACAAAAACTTCAGATACTCTTTTAAAAAAAAGACTTTAGCTACTAAATTAAAGAGCTTTTATGAACAGCCCATCACAGAACTGTGGGCTCGCCACAGAAAAAGTTAGAATGTAGTCTAACATGGAAATTCCCAACATCCTGCTCACCAGCTTAATCCAGCTGCTGACCAGCCTTCCAACACTCTTCATCTCTATGATTTTTTGTTTCTAGACATCCTAGGCATCCCTTTTTCCATCCTCCTGTCAAGTATACTCTTGGATTTGTGCACACAGGAAAGTTTTTCTGCAGTCAATACAGAGAAGAGTTCCTGCTAAGTGAAATTAAGTAAGCAGGGTTTTATGTATTTCCTTGTCAAAACAGAAGTGATTGGCAGTCTTGGGAGTGAACCACCAGAAAGAGATATTTTCAGATAATGAGGACAATCACACACAAACATAAATGTATTTCACACTATGTACTAGGTACCAAGCTCGATAATTCCTTTTAAAAACTCACCCCATTTAATATCACTGTAACTTCTTAAGGTTGGTACCATTATTACTCTTTTTTTGAATAGGAAAGCCAAGGCTTATGAAAAGTTAAATAGCCCAAGGTCACAGAAAGCTTATCAAGGTTTAGGGGAAAAAGGATGACTCTAAAATGTGTGTTCCTAAAAACTATGCTACACTGACACGGAATAGAAAAAGAAGCATCCTAAATCTAATGAAGGCCTATCTTACTTTATGATATGGCAATGCTATTCTCTTTCCTGAATGTGTACATTTTCTTTTTTTAAAAAAACATATCACTGACACAGGAAATCTTTGTAAAGAAGTCTTGGGTTTACTGAAGGCCTCTGTGTTTCTTTAAGGGAAAGCTCTTAAAACAAAGATTGGCAGACTTTCTCTGAGAAGAGCCAGATAGTAAATACTTTAGGCTTTGCACAACTCTCAGCTTTGCCATTGTGGCATGCATGCAGCCAACCCACAACAAATGGGTGGGCTGTGCTCCAAGAAAACTTTATTTATGGACACTGAACTTTGGATTTAAGATAATTTTCACATATCATAAAATAGTATCCTTCTTTTGATTTTTTTCCTCAGTCACTTAAAAATGTGAAAAGTCATTCTTGCCTCAAGGCAGTAAAGAAACAGGTGATGGGCCAGATTTGGCCAAGAGACTGTAATTTGCTGACAAAAATTCCTAAGAGACCATGTATATCACAGACACATATGATATGGTCCAAAAAATTTTGATCATTTAAAATCACCCCATGAAAACCTATTTGAAATCTTTATAGATCCTTTTCCAAATCTTAGAAACAAATAGAAATACATATAAGATAGCCATCTCATCATGGAGAATGGAATGGCAATCCACTCCAAAATTCTTGCCCAGGAAATCTCATGGACAGAGGAACCTGGTGGACTACAGTCAGTGGGCTTGCAAAGAGTCAGACACAACTGAGCAACTGAGCGTCGTGCATGCACCAGCCGTTTGATCAATGGGAGAATTCCTCATCGCTTGTTGTGTAATTGGAGTGTAGCCTATGGAAATAAGTGATTTTGTTTACACTGTGTTGTGCATCTTCCCTGATAATTCAAAACTCTGATAAACTGAGTCTGACATTTCTCTGTGTAGCATGGAAATCGTTTCCCAAGAAAATTCTGTCTTTAGGATACACAATTAAGCATTAAATGAGGTCAAGATGACCTTGAAAACTAAGAAAAATTGTGTCATTACTCTATGTGATCCTAAGAAGAAGGCTCAAACTGTTTATGGGTACTGTGACATCTTTCCTTCTTTGTTCACAGTTAGGCCACATTATTCTCAGACTACTTCTGATATTCCACTAACTACTATCTAAAGAGAGAAATATGTGGTTGGAAAACAAAGTCACCTTTTGGTTTTCTGTTTGCTAATAACTTGGAAATATTGAGAATCCTCATAGACTGGAAATACACCAAGAGGCTGGGCAAGAGCTTGGGAAGTTCCAATTCATAGAAAGTAATTTTAAAATTTAAAATGAAATCAAAACCAGATAATGCTATAGCGGCTAGCTTATTAAAGAATTACTTCTGAGGAGATCAGTCCTGGGTGTTCATTGGTAGGACTGATGTTGAAGCTGAAACTCCAATACTTTGGCCACCTGATGCGAAGAGCTGACTCATTTGAAAAGACTCTGATTCTGAGAAAGATTGAAGGCAGGAGGAGAAGGGGACGACAGAGGATGAGATGGTTGGATGGCATCACTGACTCAATGGACATGAGTTTGGGTGGACTCTGCCAGTTGGTGATGGACAGGGAGGCCTGACGTGCTGTGGTTCATGGGGTCACAAAGAGTCGGATGAGACTGAGTGAATGGACTGAACTGACTTTTTATGTGGTTAGTATTATGCTTTACCAAGTAAGAGTACAAAGCAATGAAAGTGCTTCTTTCCCCTCCCTTTTATCTTTCTACTTCCAATGACTGAGTTAGTCATATCAATGATAAACCTTAAAAATCAAATTCAACCTGTCAGTCCCATCATCACTGGCTCAATTAGGCTCTTAGTCTCTCTCATCTGGACCTTTACTATAAAACTTCTCCTGACTTATTGCTGAACTTCAGTCTCTTTCACCCAATTTATCTACCCTGCTATCATGGTCATTTTTAAGTTCTATCAAATCATCACATTCAGGGCTCACCGTCACCTATCTTGATTATAACATTCAAAATTTTGCAAGATGTGACTACTGCCTCTGTCTCCAGTCTTAATATCCAGCAGTTCTTGGCCCCTCCTCATTTCCTAGCCTCTCCACTTACACTCAATAGTACTGAATTGCTTCTAAGGTCTCTAGGGTATATCTTGTTATCTTATATCCTTGGGCATACATTGTTCACTCTCCTTGGAACATTCTACCCCCACCCCTACTTTGATCTGGGAAATTTCTAACCATTCTTTAAAAATCATATTCCCTTATAACCTCTCTTGGGAGCCCTTCCCTGACCTTCTTGAAGAAGGTTAATCACTTTATCACTTCTCTGCTACATAGATACTATGTGCAAATAGTAGTGTGCTTTCATATCATACTCTGTTATAACTGTTTCATTTACATCTATATCTACTAAGAGACTGGGTACTTCTTGAGGCCACTACTATTTCCTTTTCAGAACCTAGCACAGGGTCCAGCACTTGATAAGCAACCAAGAAATATTGATGGAATTGAATGTTAAGAAGACAGGACTCATAAATATGAAGTAATCAGGCAATGATATAGACATATATTATGCAGTCCATTCCTATTTAGTCTTGAGTGTAAGTGATAAGGCAGGTGGTGCTGTTGATTCTGTCAGTTAAATATGAGAAGTATGAGATAAACACAAATTAGACCTTGTTAGGGGTGGCTTCATGGGAAAAGGACTCACACTTGGATTTGATTTGAAAAAGAAAAGAGGATGCAGAGTGTATTCCTCAAGGAAGTCACTGGAGTTAATAAGCTGACCTGGCCTTTATGATAATTATAATAATGTTTATTCACTAAGTGTGTATTAAGAATTTACCACATTCTAGGCACTGTTTTGGAAATAACAGTGAGTGAAATCAATCAAATCTTGGACCTTAGGAATTTGCAGTCTAGTGGGGGAGAAATAAATAATAACACAACTACCATTTTTTATGCCTTCTATGTGCCAGCCACTGTCTTGGGCCCTTTTCTCATATGACCTCATTTAATCCTTACAGCACAAATGCTGTAGAGTAGGAATGTGCTCCCTCTTTACAGATGAGTGCCATCAGATGGGGTGTGAGTGGTCCAACTGGGATGTGAATCTAGAACTTTAGTCCATCTTCCTTTTGCTGTAGCACCCTGCTTCTAAGGGAAGACAGAATATGGCCTTTGTCAGTAATCCCTGGATTTCATTTGGGTTTTTTTTTTTTTTTTTTAGCTATATAGAATTTGAATCATCAAAAAGTGATGCCAGGGAAGCACCTGTGGGATCCTGCAGTTCAGGTGCCTAATTTCACCTAGAGGCATAGTGTTGAAGGGTAATGAGGAAAGAAAGACTTTTAGGTAATTGTGCACATTAACTGGGTATAAGTCAAACTATTAAAAAGTATTCATGAGAAAATAAAATACAATTTTAAAAGATAAAAGGTATTCATGAGAGATTCTACCACATACAAGAAAAAAATTTCAAATGTTAAGAATTTCCAAACATGGAAATCAGAAGGGCATCAATTGGGGAGAGAAGACTGCTATTTAGAGAAACTGGAGATAAAGATTTTAGGTGCTGAACACAAACACCTGACATGGGAATAGACCTTTTAAGATCCGTTCAGAGTTAAGGAGGTCTAGTTCAGAGCTCATGAAAAAAGAAGCTGCTTAGGGTACCACCCAGTTGAAGGCTGAAGTTCAGATGCCATCAACTGAAATAAAGAGTAGCCTGCATTTTACACTGAAATGTCAGAACTGTAAATAGATTGTGTTTCAAAAGGAAATATATGAATTCTATCAGTGAATGCTTGGCATAGACTCTGGGTCTAACTAATCACCACACATAAACAACATCTGATACTGAAGAAGTGAGATCAAAATTTGAGGCTGTATTTGGAATTTCACTTTTAAAGCCTCCTATGTCTACCTTGGGAGAGTGAAAAACCTGGCTTAAAACTCAGCATTCAGAAAACTAAGATCATGGCATCCAGTCCCATCACTTCATGGCAAATAGACAGGGAAACAATGGAAACAATGACAGACTTTATTTTCTTGGGCTCCAAAATCACTGCAGATGGTTACTGTAGCCATGAAATTAAAAGACACTTACTCCTTGGAAGAAAAGCTATGACAAACCTAGATAGAGTATTAAAAAGCAGAGACATTACTTTACCAACAAGGTCTATCTAGTCAAAGCTATAGTTTTTCCAGTAGTCATGAATGGATGTGAGAGTTGGACCATAAAGAAAGCTGAGTTCCAAAGAATTAATGCTTTTGAACTGTGGTGTTGGAGAAGACTCTCGAGAGTCAGTTGGACAGCAAGGAGATCAAACCAGTCAATCCTAAAGGAAATGAACCTGAATATTCATTGGAAGGACTGATGCTAAAGCTGAAGCTCCACTACTTTGGCCACCTGATGCACAGAACTGACTCAGTGGAAAAGACTTTGATGCTGGGAAAGATTGAAAGCAGGAGGAGAGGGGGATGACAGAGGATGAGATGGTTGGATGGTATCACTGACTTGATGGACATGAGTTTGAGTGAGCTCTGGGAGTTGGTGATGGACAAGGAAGCCTGTTTTTAAAAGTCATAAGGTAAAAAAAGTGTTGAGGAATGAAGTCTGTTTTACTCACTTATGCAGTCTTAGTTACCAACACTAGGTAGAAAGGCCATTCATTTATTTATAGAAATGAAAATCATTGCATTTGAGTGTCTTTGGAGCTAAGGGTAGAAGCTAGAACAAGGTCCCACAGCCATGCTTAACTGTAAAGAAGGCTTGAAAACAAGTATTTGGTATAAGGATATGAGATTACTGTGACGAATTTAGCACAATCAATGACTAATCTTCTAGGGCTTTGCCAAGAGAATGAAAGTTTTCCATCATTCAGAAACAGGAGGGTAGGACAGAGTAGCTGTTAGGTAGCCTGATAAGAAGGCCTCTCTAACAAAAGTGTTCATTGATAAGAACTGATCCTAGCCAGCAAGGGAAATGATGTAAGCCTTGCTAAAATATTAAGTGAAAAAGAAATATGTTTGTACAACAGAGAATTATAACTAAGACTAGAGCAGAACCAGATTGAGGTCTGGAGCATTATCATCCCTCTGACTAAGTTATTGTTATCCAGGAAGGCTCTTTGTTGTCCAGAAGTGTGATTCTGGACCTGATAAGCTGATCCTTGAACAATCTGTGTTTGAATTGCCTGGGCTCACTTACAAGCAGATATTTTTCAACAGTAAATACTAGAGTACTGCTGTGTTTGGTTGAATCCCCAGATGTGGAGGAACCACAGATCTGGAGGACCAACTATAAATTACACTCAGATTAAACCCTAATGTTGTTTAAGGGTCAACTATCAATTCTGCCATGTCCTTTAGGCTTTTCATTTTAAATGATAGAAAAGTCAACCCAAACTGGCCTAAATACAAAAGGAATTTGTTGGCTCATTTAATCAAAAAGGTCTAGGGCTGGGGTGAAATCAGGTACTGCTGGAAATGGGGCTCAGATGATGACATCAGGTACAGGTTTCTCTCCATCTCTTGCCTGTCTTTTGCTACATCAGCTCCATCCTCCTTGGAAGTCTCCCTCACATTGACCAGATGAGGGCCTGCAATATCAGACTTCTTGGTCCACTTCCAGTAGGAAAAAGGTCCTACCTCTGATCACATCTCAGGAAAACTTCTGTGCTATCACGTTGGCTCGGAAAAGGCATTTGCTAGTTTCCAGGTATGAATAC